AACAGCATGTGCAAGGGCCCAGGGGAGAGTGTGAGTGTGGCACCTTCTAGAACAGAAGTCACGTAACGTCTGGAGTGCACGCGAGGCCCAGTCCCGGGGAGGTGGAAAGCCGGGCAGAGACCCAGGCCAGCAGGAGGGTACGGGGCGAGACAAGCTGCAGTGCGGTGGGCGCACCCAGCTGCTATTGGACCTCTGGCAGCAAGACTAATGTCCAGGCAGAGCCCCTGGGGGAGAGCGGCGGGTCTCCCCGTTGCCCCGGGACTCAGGGAGAATCTGCAGGGCACCTGGGAAGCCTGAGGCTCTGTGGCTATAGGAGGGAGAAGGAGACTTCCGCAAGGGGACAGAGCACAGTAGCAGCTCAGCTGGACTTCCTCCAAAAAAGCCTGTTGCCACCCCTGACACATGCCTGAATGCTTTCTGTCCACCTATGTCAGGGGTCCTCAAACGTTTTAAATAGGGGGCCAGTTCACTGTCCCTCAGACCATTGGAGGGACACTGTCGGCCAGGGACAAGTCGGCTACTAAGCAGGACAGGGGGTGGCGGCAAAAACACCCAGAGGGCCGGATAAATGTGCTAGGTGGCCTGCATGTGGTCCACGGGCAGTAGTTTGAGGACCCCTGACCTATGTCCGTGCACCTGCTGGGAAGTCCAAGGTGCCCCTCGGCCCAGGAGCTAGGAGTGGAATGGAGTAGAAGGGGAAGAAATTTTGAAGAGAGACGACTGATCAGCCTCTCCCAGGGTCCAGAGACTGTTGGCCATGTCACATACACGATTGCACCTAATTCTAGTACTGGCCCTGTGATATGAATATTTTTGTCCTCCTTTTAAAGCGAGGGTCAGAGAAACTAAATAACTTCTCCAGGATCATATGGGTAGTAAGTGATGAAACCAGGATTCGATCGCAGGTCAGTCTAACTTTCAAGCCTGTCTGCCTCCACGGACGCGATTTGCTGTGTGTACACCTGCCCTAAGCCCTGCAGAGGCAAAGACAAGACGGGCCCTTTCGTGAGAATCGAAGGAGGTGGCATGGGAGGGAACCATTTTTCCAAAATGGTTAGGCAGGACTCTGCGCTTGCCTTGGTGAGTAGAAGTGATGCCGCCTGATATCAGAGGCTGATGTCACGAAAGGAGGGACAGTCCGGCCACCATATTGAGACGTTACCCATGGGGAGGTGGGCACCCGCGGCTGGCAGCCAGCGTCACCCACGGGAAATGTGAGTGAGCCAGCCTCTGTCACTCCCGCTGAAGGCCCCAGACATCAGGGACAGACCGGCGGTCTCCACTGTGCTCTCTCAGAGTTACTGGCACCAGGATCTCTGTTTTGCACCACTACAGTATGGGGACATCTGGTGGCACAGCTATAGTAACTGGAATTAAGACTTCGTAAACTATAAAGTGCTGTGCACGTGTAAGATGCTGTTAGTAAACCTGAGTTTGCATAATGGGATTGTGGGTATCTGGGGAAGTAAACTTGTGTCTCAGCCCTCCCCAGTTGTCCCTCAAAGCGGAGTGGGAGAAGCGGTTTGTGCACAGGTGCACGCATTTGGGAAATGATCTCCAGGATCGGGCACAGGGGACTGGGGAGAATGGAAACGGGAAGGAGGCTCAGCCCGTCCAAGGGCGTGTTACTGAGCTGACGCTGCTGTGACCAGCTGGGGCTCAGTGTCACCCAAACCCTCCGAGGAACCTGTGGAATGAGCCTTGGGACTGTGGGGAGACTCTGTCCAGGCTTCTAGCAGGTGTAGGTTGCCCCCGGAGGATGTTAAATGCTTGCACCTGCCGGTTTGCAAATGCCCCGGAAGGGCTTGAGCAGCTCTGCTGGGCAGGGAAGCACAGGGAAGCAAGCCGAATCAGGCGCTGAGAGATTGCACTGGGCTGACAGGCTGTGAAATGGAGCATAGAAGATGACCAACACAATGTGGCATTAGATTAATCCTCTGGGCAATGATTACATCTGATGTCCTGGACAGAGGCCTGCAGGGCTAACTTCGGCCTGGTCGGCCACTTTCCCCGGAAAGCCTGTGCCGTTCCAGGCCTGCTCAAGCAAGGCCTCGTGTGCTCGACCGCCATCCATCAGAAGGTCCCCCCACCCACTGCCTGGGCCCCGCAGGTGATCTCGGTCATGGAGCCAGAGCAGTCACTGCCCGTCGGGGACTGGGCGTTGGGCAGAAGCATCCCAGGACCCCAGGGATGCCCAGCAGACCTTGCTGGTGGGAGACTGAGGCTTGAAAAGCCGCCTTTGGAAGGAAGTCAATGTAGAGGGTGAGTTTGCTTTCTTCGGACCCTTAGTTTTTCTCCTGAAGCCACCAGTGTGGTGGCGAGGAAACCCGTTGGAGGGAGCCTGAGGGTGTGAGGTGTGAGGCTAGACGTCTCCAGCCCAGGACAAGGCTGGGGCCGGGCTAGATCTTTGTGCCAGCCGACTCCCAGGGACCTGGACCACTGGTCATGTCCCTCTGCCCCACTCTCCTTGGACAGCCAACTCCAGCGCTCCGCCTCCAGGGCATTCCACGCTTAGTGGTCTTGTTGCAGTGGCTTTTCCGTGGTTCCAGGTAGGAAGCAGGCTCCACGCTCCGGGCCTTGTTTGCTGCTCTTCCCCGTTAGGGCGAGGGACCCTGCGGCCACCGGTCTGCAAGGGGGGATGGCTCCGTGCCACTGCAGGCCCCGGAAGCTCAGAGAGGGGAAGGCACTGATCAGCATTCTGGGGTGCAGGAAAACTTAGATTTGGGGTAAAACTTCCCAAATTACACCAATATCAACAATACTCCAATGCACTGGGCACCCAGTGTAGACCAGGCATCGAGCTTCCTGTTGCAGGTGTTGAATTTGAACTCGTGCGGGAACTGTCTAAGAAGCCAACCCCTCTGCTCTCTGTCTCCCTCCCTTCAGCCTTCTCCTCTCCTGGGTAAATGAGCCTAGCTCCTTGCTTCCTTCTTCATCCCAGGGTGGCCTCCCCGCTACACCCAGAGCCCCTCAGCTGGAAGAAGCCTTGCCCTGCTGCTGGTGCCATTCTGTCCTCAGGTTTGCCCGGGACGGAGGGGTTTCCTGGGATGCAGGACTCCCGGTGCTAAAACCAGGAGAGTCGCAGCCAAACCAGGAAGTGTGGTCACCCTCTACAGTCCTGTTTGCGGGAGACAGGCTCGTCAACGGGCCATTACAGCCAAGCAGGTGAGTCTAGGCTGCAGGGCATGCCAGAGGAGACGGCTTCCTGGCACCAGGGCTGAGCCTTGAAAGGAAGATATGAACATTTGGAGCGAAGAAAACATTGTAAACAAATGTGGCAGGAGGAGGGGGAGCAAGGAGCAGCAGGCTCGGGGCCTCAGGGATCTGTGTGAGTCTTTCATCAGGCCTGTGGACATCTAGCAATGACAGTGTCCAGGCCAGCCTGTGCCCCCTCCCCTGGGGTTGCACCCGCCCTTTCTGGAACCTGAGAGGCAGATTTTTGTGTACACTGTCCTGGCAAAGTCTGGCCCAGAATTACTAAGTGAGAGACAGCCTTTGATGTGCACTCAGGGAACCCTCTGCATCGAGGGAGTGGAACTCTAGTCCCCCCTGTGGCATGGCCATGCGGGAAGTGCTGGGCACTTAAGTAAAAGAAGTCATGTCTCAGGTGTGCCCTAGAACTTGTGCACCACTTGTATCCATTCATACACAGCTGTTCTAGTACAGACTACCTTGGCTGCATGAACAAATTCCAGGATTCCAGGCCAAAGAGTCCCACCCGCTAAGTCCCAGGCCCATGACTCTGATGGCCACCAAGCTCCCAGCCTCTTGAGGGGGACGCAGTTCACTGTTAGACTCTCTAGTCCTGGGACCCGTGAAAGAATAAAGCAGAGGTCAAACCTGGTCCTCAGGAAAGACCGGAGAAGGGTAGTCCCTGCGGTGGCTGATGAGGCATGATGCAGCGTCTCTCAAAGCGTGTCTGGGCCCAAGTGTCTCACAATCCCCTGGGCAGCTCATTAAAAATGCAGTTCCTAGGCCACGTTCTGCTAGAAATACAGAATCATAAGCGCTGGGGGTGGGACCCAGGAGTCAACAACATTTTGAACAAGCACCTGAAAAGATTCTTCTTTTTAATGTGAAAGTTCTCTCTTGGGGGCAGTTGCTATTTATTTTACTAAAACACAAAGCTTTATGTCAAAGAAATGTATCTCCACTGTGCAATTTCTGGGATCAGTCTCACGCAGGGTTTCTCAGCCTCAGCACAACTGACGACGTCTTGGACCAGATAACCTTTGGGGGGGAGGGGGCCTGTGCATTATGGGATGTTTATCTGCATCCCCAGCCTCTACATGCCAGCAGCAGCCTGCAGCTGTGACAACCAAAACCGAAAAATGTCTGCAGACATTGCCCAATGTCCCCTAGAGAGAAAAATCTGCACCCTCCTCAGAGGGATTTCCTCCTAAAATCTGACCTCAGTTCCGTGTAAGGAGTGTGTTCACCATTCTTGGAGTGACCTCCAGCCAGGCTCTGCCCAAGCTAGACCCCAGCCCTCCTTCCCACTTTCCAGCTACACGGGGGCTGAAGCCAGTTCCCACCTCCCTCACTCCTGGTTTCCTAGCTCCCTTTCCCACCATCCCCCCTTCCATCCCACCACCTTCCATTCCTGCCACAAAGCTTGGATGCCCCTTGCCGCCCAGCCCCCCTTCGTGGGCAGGGGTGACAGAAAGCAGGACCCTGGCAGGGCAGGCCCCCACCCCTTACAAGTGGTGCTGACGGGGCTCCCAGGAGATGCCCTAAGTGGAAGAATGCTCCTTTTGTGAAAAATAGGAAGTTTATTTTTGTTCTTATTATAAACTAAACATGGTCATGGTAGAAAATCTGGCAAGGACAGAAAATGAAAAAGAAGAAATAAAGGTCATGCATAATTCCACTGCCCAGACGTATGACGTTGACATTTAGGAGGCTTCCACTTTGGCTGTTGCTGCCACCCTGGCTGGTGTGCGGACAGGGACACCCAGGTAGATAGAACACTTGACCGAGGACGGTAAGAAACATTCACGCTTCCAGGTAAGCAACTGTTTTATTCAGATCTGCGTGACTCAGAGTCTCCAGGCAGCCCACTTTGCAGGAGACTGAGTGCTTGAGTGGCGTCCTGCCGCACCCTCCCACGGAGCTGCTCCTGCAGGTGGGACGTCAGAACTCGTCCTTGATGTCAAAGTGGGGCTGGTCTTCAGGCTTGAAGTCCAGGTTGGGGCTGCCGTCCTCGTTGAGAATTCTCCGGGCTGTGTAGCCGACGATAGGATATTTGGCTTTGTACACTTTGGTGAAGACGTCATCCAGGGACTCCAGCTCCTTGGCCGTGAGCCCCGTCTTGCAGAGAAAAGCCCAAGAAACACAGGGATGGGGGTGAGTGGACTGTGTTTGGCACAGGCCTTTTTCCATCCCTACCTTCCCCTCCCCACACCCTAATGCAAGAAAAAAAAAATCTCAATAAACCAAATAATGGACCATTGACTTAAGAGACAACCCTGTAGGTTGGTGAAGGTTGGGGGGTATGACATAGGGGAGCAATGGCTTCATCGTCTTTTGCTGTTTGACTGATGCAGGAGTCAAAGACTCCAGAGAACACCCACCCAGAGGTGGGGTGCGGCATGCTTTGCTGCCGTCTGTGTACCTCCTCCCTCCTGATTAATCTCACCACGCTCTGCCCTCTTCCCATCACAACTTTAGACACCCTTGCCCTTCCTTAAGTTCTTTATTTGTTTCTATAATGTTGTGTTTAGGAGTTTGGCTCCTCTCAACCTATCTGAACGTTGATTTGATGTTGAGCACATGTAGGGTGAATGCCAGTCTTAGTGTTGCAATTATTTAGACCCTCAATAGGTTTTGTTTTTTAATGCTATCTTTTTCTTCACAGAAATACGAGCACAGAGGGAGACCTTGCTTCCCAGCCCAGTTCACCCACTAAGCTACCAACTGTGGCCGGAGGTCTCAGAGACTAACAGCAAAGCGGTAAGGGGCTGGGCGGGTGCAGACCAGAAGGGGAATCAGGCTGCCAAGGCAGTTTGGGGCCAAACTGTGATGATCACAGAGTTGGATCACAGGTTCACAAGAGTCTGGACGTGACTCTGTAGGCAAAAGGGAGCCATGGAAGGTTTCTGAGTAGCTGTGGCACAAAGTAAGATAATCTATTTCAAGAAAATGGTTGGCCACCATACCAAGTAGACTGGAGGGTAAACAGGTTAGTTGGGAAGCTTTGCTCTTGCTCAGAGGTTAATAAAAAGAAAAAGCTATGGCCCAGAGGGTGGGGCATTTTGACAAAGGCTCAAAATCGGGCTCACAGTGTCATGGGTGAGATCTGCAGGATCCAGGGACATCTTGGCCACCCCCCTAGTGGAGTCCTTCCCGGTCAAGGCGTTGTAGGGGGCTCCTCGTCCATAAAACTCTGCAGCGGGGCAGAAGGCAGAGGGTGTGAGTGTGCGTGCACATGCACAGTGGCCAGGAACTGGCACACAGTTGCAGGGGGCGGTCTGGAGGGGGGGGGTTCCCGAGGCCCCACCCAACCCTAAAAAGGGCTCCAGGCCCAAGGAGAGGCAGAGCATCGACAACAGAGAGTCCAGTAAGTCACCCACCCCCAGCCACCAAGTTGGATTCTACTAATTCAAAATATGGAATAAGTCCCATATGCAGGCTGAGAGGTGATTTTTAGAAAATACAGAATGAAAATACTCTCTTAAAAGCATTAAAAATGCAAACAAGAAAAATGCTTGGTGTTCTTAAATGTTGGTGGAAGCCAACCAAGCCTACTGCTATTCAGCAGTGTCTGGTATCAAATAAAAGATGAACCATTACAAACTACCTCCATGGCAGCATTTGTAGTTACAATTAGGGAAACCATTAGATGCCATTAAAATGCTCTATAATATCTTATAATATCAACTCTTTGCTAAGGAACACTTCTCTCAGTGCTTCAACTAGGCTAAATCATCAAGTCTGAGCTTGACTCTGCAGGCACTGGGGAGCCATGGAAGGCTTTTGCACAGGAGCATGGCATTATTAGGGCAAAAAAACTGCTGAAGTAAAACATTGACAAATATTAAATCAATCTGGTTATTTTGAAATGGAAGGAAAAGGACTTGCCCAATGTCCTCTCCCTTTCTTAACACCTTCAAGTGCCCACTCTGGCTTCCCAACTCCCTGGGAATAAAGATTCAAAATGCCAAGCCACTTACCCTTTCCGGAAGTGACATCAAACACCACTCCCTTCACTGCCAAGTAGATGGGCTGATCTTCCTAGAAAGCAAGGGAGAAGCTGTGAGGAGGGTGGGGCGAGCCCAGCTCTTCCAGTGTGAGTTAGCACAATGTCTTCCTCTTGCAAGCTGTGCAAAGAGCGGTGGGTAAAGTCACAAGGGGCCTTCCGGCAAGCCTGGTCCTCGCCTGCCTGGGCAATGGCATGCCCATGCACAAAACTCTGGAAAACTCACAAAGTCTCATGACAAGGGCATGGCAATTCCCCCCTTGATAAAGAAAATCGGAATCTGAAGCAACTTCATGCAGCTAAGAATTCAAAATAATATTAAATGATGAATTATTTAAATCAGTCCAAATTTCATCTTCACCAATGGACTTACGTGGATGTAACTGGTATAAATAATCTATTTTATATTTCGCTTTTTATAGTTCCTTCATTCCCTCATATAAACATTTCAGCATACCGAAATAACCAGAATGGCTGTCACTTAAATAGCTCCATGGGACCCCGTCTTCTATTAGTGATACTGCGTACCTGTTTGTTTAACTAGTCTTCTATTTTGGGTATTTGGGTTGTTTCCAATCCTTGGAACTATAAATGGCAGCATTATGAGTAATAGCTTTCTACAAATTACTTTCTAATTTGATGACTTACTTCTTTGAGGCATATTTCAATATATAAAATTCCTGGACCTAAGTATATGAACTACTTAGTCACTTTTTATACTTTACCAGTTTGCCCTTCAAAAACATTAAACTGTTTACAGTGCTCAAAATATGCAAGTAATGCTGTTTCCCCACAGTTCTACTAATGGTGGGTTTTACATTTTATTTTTTGCTATATTAGCAGGTATAAAATGTCACCTTAGAATTTCCCCCACCAAGAGAGAATAACACAAAAGCAGATGGCATGGATCTTCTAACTTCCACCAGGTTGGGCTCAGGCTGGGATGACTACCACAGTCCTAGGACACCCAAGTCTGATCTGTCTTTTGTGTCAGCCCAATTGTGGGTGCAGAGACATCGGCCAGGAGGCTCACAGGCCAGATAAGAGTGGGAGTCACAGTTGGGTCTATAGGAATCTTAGGATCAACAAGCACTTGCTGCTTGGCCTTCCCTTTGGGGTGGGCTTTAGGGTTCTTGCCCTTGTGGACCTTATGGTCAAGTGTTTGCATGACCGTATCTAACAGAGAGAGGAACTGAGGCTCAGAGAAGTTAAACAACTCACCCAAGGAAACATCCATCACTGGCACTTAACCCAAGTTTGTTTCTCTAAGTGTAACTTGGGGATGACACCTATCCACTTTGCAGGAAGGCTGAAAAACAGTGTATGTGAGTGCCCAGCAGCTCAGTAAATGGTTAGCTTTTACTATCCCTAATTAGCTCTTCAAGACAGTCCCCAGAACTTCTGCTGGCTTTGGTGGACCCTGCTCCACCTCACCCAGCCAGGGTTATTTTAAGTGGCATGGCTTCATGGGCCAGCAGATTGCATTTTTCTTTGTGATAATTTATTGCCTTTTCTTCCCTGTGATTACTTGCTCCTTGGCTTTGATTGCTTCTCAAGTGAGACTATGTATTTATATCAATTTCTGAAATATATTACTGCTATAATTTAACCATGTGTTTTGCCACATTTTCCATTCGGTGGCTTTTTCTTGGATATATATTTTCTGTGTGCAAAGAGTCATATAACATTCACATCCATGAGATATAAAAACAAGCATCTCATGACTAACACTCCCCATTTCTTCAACAGTAAAATATTTATCTCCTCATTAAACTACAGGGTGTCCCAAAAGTCGCCATACATAGGAGAAATGGGAAATTGTAGCCTGTAGCTAAATGTACCTATTTTTTTTACTAAATATTCATTACAAAATTTTATAAAACATTTCCTTTGTATGGAGACTTTTGGGACCCCCTGTATACAGTGAAGGCACAAGCCCTAAGAGGAAGCTGTAATAAAGGGTAGAAAAGAACGCCCATGCCTTTTGAGTGATTCCTGCTACATGGGAATTTCACAGGCCATACAGAGCAACAGTCAGGGCCGGGCGCGGTGGCTCATGCCTGTAATCCTAGCTCTCTGAGAGGCCGAAGCGGGCGGATTGCTTGAGGTCAGGAGTTCAAAACCAGCCTGAGCAAGAGTGAGACCCCGTCTCTACTATAGATAGAAAGAAATTAATTGGCCAACTGATATATATATAAAAAATTAGCTGGGCATGGTGGCGCATGCCTGTAGTCCCAGCTACTAGGGAGGCTGAGGCAGAAGGATTGCTTAAGCCCAGGAGTTTGAGGTTGCTGTGAGCTAGGCTGACGCCACAGCACTCACTCTAGCCCGGACAACAAAGCGAGACTCTGTCTCAAAAAAAAAAAAAGCAACAGTCAGAGCAGTTAAACACCAGGTGTGCTATGGGGTGAGTTCTGATCACGTGAAGATGGATATCCACTGACAGCAGAGCCCCCAGGCATGGATTTTCAGGCCTGGGAAATAGCAACTGAGAAGGTGGGGGTGTGGGGGTGGAGGGGTCCTCCCCTCCTTAGGAAACACAAATGCAGACTCAGTAATAGAAACATCCAGAAAGACACGATAAAGACACATGCTCAGCACCAGCTTCACACCATGTCTCCCCACTCCCTCCCCCACCTGCACAGGTGAGACCTTTTGTGATCTAGAGTTGGATGTATATAAATGGATATATCACTTTTTATTTATTTATAACCACAACACGTCATAAATCACAGCAAGAGAGCTGTCTTTTTCCAAGAGACCAAAGAAGGAGTCACCACGGTATCATGGTCCTAGCTCAAGTCTTCAAGTCCACCAGGTCTGGGTTTGAGCCACCACTTATGAGTTGTGTTGCCTTAAACTTAACGTCTCTGTGCCTCAGTTTTCTCCTCTGTGATATGAGGATAATAAAAGCATCAATCAGCTCGATGGGCTTTTATGAGGATTAACCATGGTAAGAGATAGAAAGGATTTAGAAGTTTAGGGAAATATATGCTAGTTTCTTTTATCCTCCTCTAGGTTTTGAAAGTTTTAAGATCAAAAAGGAAATCAGATAACCAAGCAGAAGGACATTACAGGTTTTTTTTTAAAGGAAAGATAGAAAAAAATGTATTTCCCAGGGGACAGGGACTCTGGAAGTATGTGAGGTTAAAACTGGAAGGGGCCTCAAAGAGAATCTATCTAATGTCTTCATTTTCCGGATGAGGACATCTAGGCTCAGGGAGGTTAAATGACTTGCTTGTCCAGAGTCACAGAGTAAATTAGAGGGAGAGAAGGTTCTGGAACCTGGAGCCTTGGAATCCAAGGCTCTGTCCACTCTCTTGTCCTGCCCAACCAGAGGGCACATTTGGCACAAAAGGGCACTGGCCTGGGCCCAAGCGAGAGTGACAGTGTCCTGGGACAGTCATCCAAAGACTCAGGGCCACCTGGCCAGAGGTACCCAGACAGCAGGGAATCAGAGAAACTGCCCTATAAATGAGACCAGGGCCCTTATCTTTCTTTGGGTCTTGGGATCGTCCTGCCCTCTGGTGTTCCTCCCTGCCTGCAGTCAGGCAGAGGCCAGTGGAGAGTGCCATGATAGTCACCGTGACAAAGTGATACAACGGCAGCAGGGCAAAGAGGAAGAAAGGCCTTTTAGCACAGTGGAAGGAGGGAGTCCTGGCGCTGGGTGCAGGCAGGAAGGCAGGGTCCAGCAGCTGGCCCACGCTTCCCAAGCCTGTTTTGAACTCTCTTTCCTTGCATTCTATGCTGGAGGTCTCCCAGACTATTTTGACAGTTGGAGATTCCCTAGAAGGAAGATTCAAAAAACTCAGCACATAGTTGTACTCATGGCCAGCATGGAAAAAGACAGAGGTGGAATCTGGGGGAATCCACGTGCAGGTTTCCTTATGCTCTCTCCCTCCCATGCGGGATCACGCAGATCACACTCTTCCCCCAGCAACAAAACATAATGTGTGCCATGTGCATGCCCAAGGAAGCCCACTAGACTGAGCACCCAGGGTTTTTATTGGGGGCTGGTCACGCAGGCACTCTCTGCCTAGCACGTACAATGTTCAGCATGAACCACGCTGTCTGTACATACAGCCGGGGCAGAGTGGGCCACCCTGATTGGTGAGGGAAGGATGGCAAATCTCCAGAAGTCCAGACACTGGCCACTCTTGCAAATGGGCTTTCCTAAGGAGAGCAGACCTGCTATATTAACTTCTGCACAGATCCCCTGACTCTGAACCACCTAGTTCCCTCTGCTGCCCCCAAGGAAGGCCTGCCCTAACATGCCGTCACACCCCGGTCATGTCCCTTTCCCTCTGTGTCCTCATCCACTCAAGGTTCTAGCCGACCTCTTCACAAATGATCCCCAATCCGGCCATCCCATCTGCTTCCCCTTTGACAACCTAGTCCATCTAAGCGAAGCTAACTCAGGAGTTAGGGAGCCCAGGCCAGAGCGTTTTAACAAGAGGACATCGGGTCCCTTCCTGCTCTACCACTAACAGGTGGCATGCCTCAGTTTCCTCACCTGTAAAAGCAAGAGACTGGTTTCTGTCGACTCTGAAATGCTATGATAGTATGATCTCCCCACCAACCCTGATCCCCCCACGCCCTTGCCACGTGCAGCCTCTTGTTTCCACACTACAGCCATCGCGCTGGACCCCACCAGCCCGCACCGACAGGTGGCTGGGAGTTTTCTGGACGGGTCCAGACTACTGACCCACATGCTGTGAGTGTTGGAGGGGGGGGTCTTTGTCTCTAACCTCCCGTCCCCCCGTCTGCGCAGGGCCCCAGCTGTGGCTCAGACACTAAACGTGGGTTTGAGGAGACTGCAGCACAGGCGACCTGGGATGTAGGAGCAGGAGGAGGAAGTGCGGGCAAAGACCTGCCTCCATTTACCCCCCAACCCTGGGAGTGGCTTTGCTGCCCTCCCTCCCTCCGCTGCCACGCCCCCCGTAAGTAGGCAGAGTGACCTCCCTCCGCCGATGCGAACGTTAAAAACGAAACGCTCTGAGGCTCGTGCGCAGACCGCCACCGAGAGGCGGCTGGGGGGATCTCCCGGGAAGAAAGAGGGAGTGTGCAGGCCCCCAGCGCGCCCCGATGGTTGAGGACCCGCCCTTATCCCTCGGCCGTCCGTCCCGGCCTGGGCACGGGAGGCCCCGCAGGCCCGGCCCGGCGCGGAGCCCAGGCTTCGGGAGAGGTTGGCCGCACGTCCGCCGCGCCGCCCCCGCCGCCGGCGCCTCCCGGGTCCCGCTCCCCGCAGGCCGGCGCGGCCCCCAGTCCCGCGGCCGCGCCGCCCCGCCTACCTCCGCGCCGCCGTAGCGCGCCAGCTCCTCCTCCGTGAAGAGCCGCACCGGAGGCCCCCGCTCGGCGGGGCGCGGCGCCTGCCCGGCCCGGGCCGCGAGCGCCAGGACCAGGCCCAGGGGCCAGCGTGCCACGGCCGCCCGCGGCGGGCGGAACCCAGGCGACTCGCGGCGCGGGGCGAGCGCGGCCCAGGCGGCCAGGCCCGGAAGCCCGCCCCGTGCCCGGGGCCGCCCCGAGGGCGGGGAGCCCGGGATCCCCCGCCTCCCGCGCGCCTCCTGCGCCCCCGGCGCTCCGGCTTGGCAGGGCAGGGCCTCTGGAAACTTCCGAGCTGGGTTATGACCCCGGACTCCTCACTCCACAGTAGGGACTGAAAGTTAGCAAAGAGCGACAGGGGTTACCGCAGTTCCTTGATTAGGTACGTGGGTGACACAGCCCGACATTCCACCACCTAGGAAGATATATTTATAAAGTAGAACCCCCTAGCTGTATTAATGCGCTTTTATTTGGGGCCAATTTTTTTTTTCTTTCTAGTTGTGTTGAAATCTCTGGTCGCCAAAGGAATTTTTGCAAAGGGCAGGGCACAGCACAGCTACCCCGAAATAATAACTAACATATGTGCAAGCCTTAGCTCATTAATTTATTTGACAAATAGTTTTTGAGGGCCTCCGTGTACCAGGTCACTGGGGACAGAGGCATCCCTGAACAAGACAGAGCCATGCCCACCTTGTATGGGCAGACAGACAAAAAGCGAGATAGGGGAGGAGCATGTTAGATGGCGGTAAATACCAGGGAGAGAAATAAAGCAGGGCGGAGGGATAGGGAGCGCTGGGGGTTGCCATTTCATTAATAAATAGGCTGGCCAGGGAGGGCTTCACTGAAAAGATGGTATTTGTTTAGAAAGGAAGGAAAGAAGAGCAACGGGGCAAAGACTCAAGGGCATGAATGCCAAGGAAGGTGGGTGCCCTGCTTGTTAGAAAAACAGCAAGCAGGGAAGAGGGTAGGAGATGAGCTCAGGGAGGTAAGGGAGTGAGAGGGTTTGGGGGGCACCTTGCAGGGCCGCACCCATTATTTTGAAAAGACTTTGGCTTTCACTCTGCATGAACGGAACAGAGAGACGCGTTAATAACTAACTCTCGCTGAAGCAGGAAGGCTACTGCATAAATCCAGGTGGGAGACGGTGGTGCCTTGGAGCAGAATGGGGTGGGGGTGAGAAATGGGTGGACTGTGGAGACCTTTTGAAGGTGTGGCTGATAGGATTTGCTGGCAGATGAGACACAGGGTGAGAGAGGAGAGGAGTCAAGGATGGCCCCAAGGTTTTTGGCCTCAGCAACTGGAAAGATGGAGTTGCCATTTATAGAGATAGGAGCAGGTTTAGGGGAAGCTCAAGATCAGTTTGGGGCTTGTTCAGTTTGAGGGGCATATTTGACATCTCACTGGGCATAGCAAATTGACAGTTAAATATGTGAGTCTGGAATTGGGGGAAGAGTTCCAGGCTGGAGATAGAAATTTTGGAATCATTGGCAAATAGGTTGTATTTAAAGCCATAGAGGTGAGTGAGATCATCAGAGGAAGTGTGTGTAGGTAGAGAGTGAGCTCTTGGGGCCCTTAACACATAGTGATTGGGACAATGGGCAAAGGAGACCAGAGAAGGACTTTACCGTGTGCCAGACACTGGTTTCAGCACTTTTACATGTATTAACTCATTTAATCCTCACTATAACTCTATGATGTAAGAAATTTTATTTTATTTTTAGAGACAAGGTCTTGCTCTGTCACCCAGGCTGGAGTGCAGTGGCACAATCTTTACTCGCTGAAGCCTTGAACTTCTGTGCTCAAGCTATCTTTCTGAGTAGCTGGGACTATGGGTATGCCACCACACCTGGCTAATTTTTAATTTTTTTGTAGAGATGGGGTGTCACTATGTTGCCCAGGCTGGTCTCAAACTCCTGGCCTCAAGCAATCCTCCTGCCTCCTCCTGCCTTGGCCTCCAAAAGTGCTGGGATTACAGGCGTGAGCCACCCGGCCATGCAATGTAAGAACTATTATTATCCTCCATGTTATAGATGATGACACTGAAGTGCAGGGACCTTAAGTACCTTGCCCACGGTCACACAGTGAGTGGCAGAGCTAAGTCAAGCACAGGCCATGTGTCCCCCACTCTGCCTAACCACCAGGCTATACCTCCCCCCTCAGGGACTGTACCAAACGTGTATACATTTACATATTCAACAGAACAGGCTTCTAGTGCAGCGTGACCCATACAGGATCTGTCCACTAACCATCTGAATCTCAATTTCTGTGTTCGTAACATGCCAGCCTGCCTGCTTCATACAACTGGGTTGAAACTGACAGCGACAGTGGATGCAGAAGGCTGTGGGTCTGCAGTGTATACCTTACACTGTGTCACAGGATCTCCAGGTTGAAAGAGGCCTTTCTAAACCCTGGCTAGAATATCATCCCCTTCCCAGTGCATCATGTTCCTTGATAACATCCCTGCAGTACAGCATGCTGCTTCTGTGCTTGAGCCCTTTCTTTCCACAGTTCTGTTTGTCAAGAGCCTCTTTAAGCCAAAAGATCCTCTCTGTAATTTCTACTGATCACATCTAGCCCCCGCCCTCCCTGAGATGCTGAAGATGCATCTGTAATTGAAGAATATGTTCATATGCCCTTGAATTTCTCCAGGCACCCTCTGATTGACCTTTTCTATTTGGATCCAGATTCATTTTTCCAAAGCACTTGGGATATCAGTCATTCACCTGCAAGAAAAATAGAAACTATTCTGAGTAAAACAGGATGGCTCTAATGCAGGGAGTTGGCTACAACAGGTGATGAAACAGGTTGAAAGAACCCCGAGGCAACTCAGAGATTAGCAACAGCAGGTGATTAGCAACAGCAGGAAGCCACCATCCGGCCAGTGGAAGGGTAGAGGTGGTGGTTATTAACGTCTAGGGGCCTGGGTTACCTGGCTAAGCTAAAAGCACAGCAAGCCTTTGTACCAGGGCAAGGGAAACTGCCAGAGGCAAAGAAAAAGGAAAAGAAAACCTCTGGCTTCTCTCATGCACTGATCTCTAACTCTCAGCAGTGCCTCTTCTTGACTGAACTCAGTGGCAACCCAAGGGCCAGCCCCTGCACCCCAAGAGCAGAGCAGGGGAAAGCAAGACCTGGATCTGAGAGCAAGGCAGTCGGGGATCAGCACAACCCAGCCTCTGTGATCTGGCCTCTGCCCGCCTCTCTGACTCTGTCTCCTTTATGCTGCTCCAGCCTGGCGCCTTTGTACTGTACCTGTGCCCTCTGCCTGGGGTGCAGACCAGCATGTGCTGGCCCCTTCTTGTCATTCAGGTCTCACCTCAAAAGTAACTACCATCAGGGGGCCTCTCTTGACACCCTCCAGATACATTAGCAGCACCCCGCCCCCCACCTGCTCCATGACTGTCACACATCCTGTTGTGTTTTCTTTCAAGCTCTTATTGCCATGTGAAATTACTTTGTTCATTTATTTATTCAGCAACGATTTGAGTACCTAGTAAGTGCCAGGCACTGTCGGAGGCACTAGGATACAGCAGTGAACGACGCTGAACAACACTGAACCTCACCTTCGTGGAGCTTCCATCCTAGTGGGGGGGGAGACTGAAAAGGATGTCAGAAGATGGTATGTGCTAGGGAGAAACATAAAGCAGAGTAGGGGTGTGCTGGAAGTTGGGTTTGCTGCTTTTATAGGATGCTCAGAGGGGGCATCACTGACTAGGTGGCATTTGGGGAAAGACCTGAAGGAGGTGAGGAAGTGAGTCACATGGATATCTAGGAGGGGAGCATTTGGGGCAGAGGGAACAGCCAGTGTGAAGGCTCTTAGGCCGGCTGGGCGCAGTGGCTCATGCCTGTAATCCTAGCTCTCTGGGAGGCCGAGGCAGGTGGATCATTTGAACTCAGGAGTTCGAAACCAACCTGAGCAAGAGTGAGACCCCCGTCTCTACTATAAATAGAAAGAAATGAATTGGCCAACTAATATATATAGAAAAAATTAGCCGGGCATGGTGGCACATACCTGTAGTCCCAGCTACTCAGGAGGCTGAGGCAGCAGGATTGCTTGAGCCCAGGAGTTTGAGGTTGCTGTGACCTAGGCTGACGCCATGGCACTCACTGTAGCCTGGACAACAAAGCGAGACTCTGTCTCAAAAAAAAAGGCTCTTAGGCCAACATATGCTCCGCATGTTGGAGCTGAGAGAGTGAGGGATAGGAGGATTAGGAAAGGTAGGGGCTGGGGGACAGATCCTATAGGGACTTACAGGTGTGAACTAAAGGTCTCTGAAAAGGAATTTGGAGGAAAGACTTTATTCCCATGAACAGTTTGCAAACTGGGCAGACATTGCCCCTGTTGTAAAATGAAGGTATGTTCTAGGAAACAAAGAGAAGGTTTCAATTTTATAGTAAAAGTTTCCATCCAGTTTCCTAATCACCTCTGTTTATGCAAATGAAGCATTGAAACTTGCTTAGTGCTGATTGCTTAGTCACATCCATCTGAGCACTAATTGGCTGAGACTGGTGAACTCTGATTGGTTGATTCAGGTGAGCTCTGAAAGTCTCAGAGTTAAACAGGTGTAGGTTTGGGGGGAACTCAGAGTAAGTGTGTGACCTCTTCTTGTCACCTGGTCTCTTGGCTGTTTTAGGCCCACCTAGCCACTTGGGATCCATCTTGAAGGATTGACTTTTTCAGTTTCACATTTGTCCCCCCAGGAAACTGTGGGGACTTTGGCTTTGGAAGGGTTGGCGCAGAGGAGTGATATGATCTGACTTGGTTAATAGGCTCTCCCTGTCCATTGGGACTGGACCACAGGACAGCAAGTGTGGAGGTAGACCACCCAGGAAGCTATTGAAACAATCAACGAGAAATGCTGGTGACTTACTACATGGTGGAGGTGGGGACGAGTGGTCAGATTCTGAGAAAGTTTAAAGATAGAGCCAACAGGATTTGCTGATTTAGATGTGGGGTGTGAAAGAAAGGGAGGAGTTGAGATGACTCCAAGAGTTTCGGCCAGAGCCGAAACTGAGGGTGGAGATGAATAGGATGAGAAAGATTGTGTGGGGGGTAGATTTAAGATAGAAGATCCCCAGGTTCAGCTTTGAACCTTGTAATGACCACTAACGCTAATATACTACTGACATGCACCTTTAGTGCTCAGATGTATCTGACTAAGCAATCAGCACTAGGCAAGTTTGAATCCTTCATGTGCATAAACAGGCCTGATTGGGAAACTGGGTGGAAACTTTTAGTATAAGACTGGACCCCTCTCTTTGTAGATAGTGTTCTTGGACTGTACAGGTGATAACTCATTTAATTCTCTCAGAGCTCTACGAATAGGTAGTAATATTTCTCTTTTACATACGAGGTAACTGAGGCACAGGAACATTAAATAACTTTCCCAGGATCACAAAATCAGTAAGCAGCAGAGCCAGGACTAAAGGATCAAGCAGTCTGGCTGCAGCATTTATGATTTCATTGACTACACTCCTGCTGCTGCAGGTGGACATCCAGTGGAGAAGTTGCCTAGGGAGCTGGGCACGTGAGCCTGGGCCTCAGGGGACAGCTGGGAGGCTGGAAATAATGCACTTGTATACACTTGGGAATTGTGTTCGTTTCCTAAGGCTGCTGTACCAAGGTACCACAAAGTGGGCAGCTTAAAACAACAGAAATTCGCCGGGCGTGGTGGCTCACGCCTGTAATCCTAGCACTTTGGGAGGCCGAGGCGGGCGGATTGCTCAAGGTCAGGAGTTCGAAACCAGCCTGAGCGAGACCCCGTCTCTACCAAAAATAGAAATAAATTAATTGACCAACTAAAAATATATATACAAAAAATTAGCCGGGCATGGTGGCGCATGCCTGTAGTCCCAGCTACTCGGGAGGCTGAGGCAGTAGGATCGCTGAGCCCAGGAGATTGAGGTTGCTGTGAGCCAGGCTGACGCCACGGCACTCACTCTAGCCTGGGCAACAAAGTGAGACTCTGTCTCAAAAAAAAAAAAACAGAAATTCATTCTATCAAGGTTCTGGAAGCTAGAATTTTGGATTCAAGGAGTTGGCAGGGTCATGTACCCTCTGAGACTTTGGGCAGAATCCTTTCTTGCCTCTTCCTAGATTTTGGTGGTTGCTGGCAATCCTTGGGATGCTGCCTGTTGCTTGGCCAAGCGATGGAGCCTCCACCTGTAACAAGCAGGTGAATGATTAAAGCCACTTTGGCTCGCAGCCGTATCACTCCAATCCGCTTCTGTCCTCATGTGGCCGTTGTCCTCGTGTGTCTGTATTCACATGGTCTTCTGTGTTTTTACAAGGGCATAAGTCATATTCGATTACTCCAGCATGACCTCATGTTAATTACATCTGCAATGATGCTATTTCCAAATAAGGTCACATTCTGAAGTCCTGGGATTAAGACTTCAAAAAAAAATTTTTTTTTTTTGAGACAGAGTCTCACTCTGTCACTTTGGGTAGAGTGCAGTGGCATCTTCATAGCGCACTGCAACCTCAAACTCCAAGGCTCAAGCAATCTTCCTGCCTCGGCCTCCCGAGCAGCTAGCTGGGACTACAGGTTTGTGCCACCACACCTGATTTTTATCTATTTTTGGTAAAGACAGCTGGTCTCTACCGAATTCTGAGCTAAAGTCATCTTCCTGCCTCAGCCTCCCAGAGTGCTAGGATTACAGGCATGAGCCACCGCGCCAGGCTTAGGACTTCAACATAGTTTGAAGGGGACACAATTGAACCCATAACAAGAATCTTTAGGGTATAGATGGTAATTCAAGCCATGAGTCTAGAGGTGACCACTTTAGCCCCTGGGGATTGAGCAGAAGGGAGATGGAAGACCTAGCTTTGGAGAAGGACACCCTGTAGAGTGGAGATAAGGAGAAGCCAGCAGAGGAGGCCAAGGAGCAGCAAGTGAGATAGGAGCAAGGTGGGATCACGTGGGGGCCTGGAAGCCAGGGGAGGACAGTGTATCTAGGAGAAGGGAGGCTCGGCGAAGTCCAGTGCAGCTGATAAGTCAAGAAAGAGGATGGGAAATGGCTGTCTGATTTGACAACATGAAGGTCACTGTGACCTTGAAAAGCACTGTTCCAGTGGAGCGGAAGGAATAAAGCCTGATCAGTGTGTGCTCACGATGAAATGGGAGAAGAGGACTTGGGGACAGCAAAACAGAAAATTCTGTCTTCATGTTTATGGTCTGTCCACCCTAGCACAGAAGAGCTACAAAAGCCAGGATAAAAAAACAAAAACAAAAACCCACCCCAGGACCTTGGGGTATCTTATTCATTTCTACATCCCACTGCCCAGCACACTGTATTTGTTAAACCACGTTGAATATTGTGTTAACCAGTATCTCCTTCAAACGTGGGAGCCCATCATTTTTCAGCCTGGTCACACCAATAAAGACTAGAGAGGAATAAGGCTGGAATGGAATTCTCTGGTTCCTTCCAGCTCTAAAACTCTATGGTTGTGTGACTCGTTTTGTCAACCACCCTTGTATTAATACAGTAATGAATTTAATTAGCTGTTTTTGTTGTTTATTCATCTTGGCAAGCAACTGTTAAATGGCTGTAATAAGTGTTCCATTCATAAAGTCCACAAACATTTGTTAAGTGTCTATAATGTGTTAGGTGCTATATATAGTGTCCCATATAATAGATGTTAAGAGCAGAGGGTCTGGGGTGGGGGAGGGTGGTCAGGAGAGGTGATGGGGACATCCCACTGCTGGTGCTCCAGGAGGTCTGATGTGGTCCGTGTTACTTGCTTATTATGTAGGAGAGGAGCGAAGAGGCCTCCTGAGTGGAGGCGGTTGTCCCTGCAGCTGCAAGGGACACAGAGCAGCATTCACCAAGACATAATAAGCAGCCTCTATCTGCTTCAGCATTAAGCAGCCTAGGGCAGCCACACAGAACAGCTGTTTTAGGCGGTGGGAGAGGAAGATGTGGTCCACAGGTCCACTCTGCCACATTTAGGGCCAAGCTGTAGTTGAATGGTGCCTCTGGGTTTTCTCTGCATGATCCCTTCTTTTTGCCGTCATAAGGCCCTGTCAGGCAGGGCCAGTTGCATTCTAAGGCAAAGAGAGCATGGCTCAGAGCATTGCAAAACCTGAGGGTGAGGGGCAGAATCAGGACAAGAACCTAAGGGTTCTGACCCCAAGCGTCTGCCCCGGGAATAATGGAAAGAACGTGGATTCTATATAGCCCACTCCTGGAGGAAATAAACTCTACTTGATTACCGCCCTCCCCTCATCCCTTCCAAAACAAAGTACCTCAGTTTCCTCCTCTGTAAAATAGGGAGGAAAATGTCCTCACAGGATTCCTTGCAGGATCATGGGCATAATGTGAAAAGCTGTATTAATTAATTATTCTATAAGCACTGGTGCATGGTTGGTTAGTAAGAAAAAGAATTTTAGAACAGAAGGCCAAAATTCGGCCTCTCCAGTTTATTACAGCTGGGCATTACCACCTGTCTGCTCTAAGAACTCAAAGAGCGTATAATCGTCACATGGCCGCGAAGAACGCCAGCAAGCAGGTGCATGCAGCCATCTGTATTCAGGCATTATGGAGAGGCTATTCTTGGAGGCAGAAAAATGATTGTACAAAAATTAAAGCTATACGACTACGTCTTCAAATTGTTAATAGAGAGATTCGGGAAGGAAAACTCTGCAAAAGAACCGCTCTTGCACTTCATTATCTTTTGATATATAAGCACTTTTCTGCCATTCTTGAGGCTTTCAAGCACCTAGAGGTAACTACTAGATTGTCTCTGCTTTGTTGTGACAGGGAAAACCGTTGGGTGGACGCAGCTGTCCGCTGCCTCCTGGCCGCTGGGCATCCCCTGGGGCCGGGGCTGGGTGGGCAGGCTGGAGGCCACAGCAGGTGCATGCTGCTGGGGTCCCCCCTCACGTGTGGATGCCCGCTGTCCTCTGCACTGGGTGCTTGGCCTGCCTGCTCCAGTCCTCCAGTCCAGCTGACTGCGGGATCTTGATTGGATATTAAAGCGTATTGCTGATTGGATGTTAAAGCTTGTTGCTGATTGGACGCTGATTGAGTCCTACCAAGGGTATAAAAGCAGTAGGAGAACAAGGAAGTGATGGGTCAGAAGTCAGCTGAGAGAATAGAGACTGTTCTCTGACTCTCCATGTGCCCCTCGGTTCTTTCCCCGCCAAGAGCTGTAACGCTAGCTGTACACCTTGCTGGAACAGCCCAGAGTGCTGCAATTTCTAAAATATTTGTTTTGATCTGAAGTTGTAATTGTGTTCCCTGCATGGAAGCCATCAGGTACGCTGTACAAGACTAGCTTAATGTAGCTAAGTATGAAAAAACTACTTCAGCAGTTTGTGATGCAGAACATTATATGGATATGCTACTGGAGCTTTTGCAGATGTACCAGGAAAAGCCTGGTGACAAAGTTACAGACGAGGGTTGAAGCATTTTCACAAAAACTTGTTTGTTGGGTATTTTACTGAAAACAACAAATACGCTTTGTAACGTACAAAGTGCTCTCCAGACATTTATAACGGTTATAAATCACCAGGCCAAGCTTCCTCTTGCAATGATAGATTAGGCGCTCCTACCCACCTGACCTTGTTCCACTTTTCACTCAGTTTCTCCGTCCCTCCCCCTCCAACAGAGAGCGGAAGTGAGAGACGAAGAGGCACGAGCGCCTAAGCCCCAGTTTAGCCTGCCCTTGGGTACCTCTCAGCCCTCCTCGCCCCTGCGGTGCTGAGGGTCGCCCCGCCGGACTACATTTCCCAGCAGCCCTCTCGCGGCCCCTGAGGCGGCAGCAGCGAGGCGCATGCGCCTTGTGCCACCACGCCTGGTCTCCGGGACGCCCGTGCAAACCAGTTTCGGCTCGCAGAGCCGGCAGGTCCTGACGCTGCGGCCCGGGTTGTAGCGGACTCAAGTGTGCCGTACCTCCGGCCAGTGCCATGATCCGGCAGGAGCGCTCCACATCCTACCAGGAGGTACGAGGGAGTGGGGGACGTACGGAAAGTTTCTTGTGAGGCGGAGGAGCGGGGTCCGGGGCGTCCGGGCGGGTGGGGTGCGGGGGGCGCCCGGGCTGCGCGGCCGAGGGCTCTTGAGAGAGGCGCGGGGAGCGCGTCCCGGGAGGGGTCCCCGCGTGCAGAGGAGCGGCGGGGAGGGGGCAGGAAGGAAGCGGGGCGGCGGAGCGGGCGCCCTGCCTCCTCCGGATGCTGCCGGTCGCTCGGCCGAGGGATGGAGCCCGGTCCCGGAGCCGGGACCCGTAACCAGCAGGTGAATGATTACAGCCACCTCAGAAGCGCGACCCGCTGAGGAACCTGGCGTTGCCTGCAACAAGTGGAAGCTCCCGCGCCCTCCTCCCGGCGAGAGCAGATGCACTGTCTGCATTAGTCCTCCTCCAAGCCCAAGGCCTCGCCCCCCCCCCCCCGGGGGTGGTTAGTGACAGGGATAATTATCTCAGGTTTTCGTGGCCCCTTGACTTTGAAAAAGTGCTTTCACCGACATTGATGGTTCTCGCTCCTCTCCATCCCTTCCGCCAGTGTCTCCCCTCCCACAACTTTATCACTTTCCAGTTCTTTGTCTTTTGTCTGTCCTGAGCTACCGGCTGCGCTTCGCTTCCAGCTTTTCCTTCAGACCAGCTCTTCCTCCTGACTAGCTCTTCCTCCTGACTCCCCCTTTCTTAGTGAAACTGGTCTCCGCTCCTCCTCTTCTCAGGTGCCAGACCTTGTTCATCTCTGCTAACCTTCCTCTCCTGTGCCCCTTTGCTTGCCGAGGTCAGGCCATTCCACATAGTCCTGCAGTCTGGGTCCCTGTGTTTGCTCTAACCACCCGAATGTGAAACAGTGTTACCACCTCTCCCTTCAGTCTCTTCTTCTTCTCTCCAGATTTGTTTTGAGGCCCTGCCTTGACCCCGGAACATTCCTGTTTTCATAGACCTGATGCTTGCCCTTGGTCTGTCCAGACCAGTCCAAACTTCAGCAAGCGTTCAAAGCTCTATACAGCTCAACTGCTGTATCTCCCATTACCTTTGCCATCTGCTCAGCCACCCAGTTTCTGACCATTCTGGAAACTCGCCATTTTAAAACATGCTTCTAGCTTTATGCTCATGCTCATAACCATTTCTTCTTTAATCCTTCTTTAACCCTTTTGCAAGCTCTGTTGGGTAAAATTCCCCATTAGTCAAGGGCCACCTCGAGTCCCACCTGCTCTGTAGGGGCTGAATTTCCAGACCAGTCTTGAATCTGCCTGTCCTTATGTGAACTTGCTTTCTGTTTTGATCAGTAATTATTGATGTACGTCTCTCCCTTTGTAAATGAGTATAATTCACAGAAAGGCTTTGGGAGTATATAAAACAGGTGGCTTAGCTCCACAGTAGAAGAAGTCAAGTTGAAGGCAGATGAGATTTGCCTAAGGTTTGCCATTTTTTTAGTGTAGGACCTTGGCTGGAATCTGGCCTTGGACAGATTTCTGTATTTCTCTTCCCATTTCCCCTTTATCCCCTCTGTTTCCTTTATCTAAAAGGAGCCTGGTAGATTTTAACCAGTGCTGTAGATTCCATGGGCTCTAGATTCCATGCCCTACACAGTGGGGTAATCCTGAGGAATGAGATTCATCTTTCCCTAACTCTGAAAGTTTTCAGGTTTAAAGGGAGTAGAACACAGTGGGTAAATACTAGGTCTTTGAAGCCAAAAAGCCACCTTCCTGTCCCGGCTTTGCTTCTTGCCATTTTTGTGACTTTTGTCAAGTCACTTAACTTTCTGAGCCTTAGTTTCTTCATTTGAAAATGAAGATAATGGTAGTCCCTACCTCCTAGGGTGGTTGTGGGAATTAGATGAGTTGATATGCGGAAAAGTGCTTGGCTTAGTGCCTGGCAGGTGCTGACCCCTTGGCGAATGATTGGTCTTGTTAACAGGGTGTAGGCAGCTCCTATTTCTAGGGAGCTTTGGGGTCCTGGCTTAACAGGACTATGTCCCTCACCATCCACACACAGCCTGCAGGATCTCCTCACCTAGCAGGGCTCAGAAGATGTTTTTTAAAATATAGCAGTTCTGCTTACAGGGATAAGGCAAGAGATGGAGTCATTTGCCCTTTGGGGGCATGCCCATGGTGGAAGGCTCTGGAAGGTCCTCCTCCCCTGCCTTCCCAGAGGTCTGTTGTGAAGTCCCTGTCTCCCACCTTCAGAGAAAGAAGGCCGCCCACACAATGGCCTGAATCTTCCTTGCCAAGATCATTCTGAAAGTGGACCTGTTTCCAAGTTAGGTTGCTTTGCTGAAGGGAGATTTTGGCTTTTGGGTGTAGGGTGTACCGAGAAGTGGCCAAGGGCTGGCAAGGAGGTGGGCTCATAATGGCTGTGGGCAGTCAGAAAGGGAACTGGGTGGAGAGGGTGTTACCACCTGGGTCAGGGTGAACGTGGATGAGTCTTGGATCAAAGAACTTTGAACTTTCCCAGGACTAACATCATCGTCTCCTTTTGGTCAGTGAGACCTCTGGAGACCTCTTTATCTGTACTCCCACTAGTGGCCTGCATCGCGTGGTGCCATCTCCAGACTCCCAGCCCTCTCCTACTGGTTGGTTTTCTTTTCTTTTGTGCTTGCGGGCTTTAAATTGGAGGTTTTGCCTGGATCTAAGGAGCAGGTGTGGAGAGTAGATGGAAAAATGATAGATGCATAAGAGCTGTTTTTTAACTCAAGTCTTTTAGAGGTGAATTTTTAATGCAAAAAGTCTTGAAACTGTAAGTGATGACACAGCTCAAGAAAACGTTTAGGAAAGCTATTCCCTCCCCACTTCCTAATTCGGTGATGGCTTCTTCTCTAAGTTCTGGTCTTGACCTTTTCTGCCTTCCTCCCTAATCCTACAGAGACTTATGGATTATCATGGTCTTTTTTTTCTGCCCTTCTATCCTTATCAGTGGCATAATTTCCCCATTTAACAGGTGAGAACACTGATGAAGTGAGGTTAAGTTTGCCTGGGACCAGGCTGCTAGTTAGCACCTGTCCTTGGGATGGACGTTCTCCTTGTTTTGTTCTGCCATTTGCAGCCCTATTTTAGCCAGAGTGCTGGAGAGCTTTGACCCCAACTTCACTGTTCCCTCTTCTCTCTCAGCAGACTGTAAGCCGCATTTCCTCTTCCTTTGGGAAGTGGTTGAGACCGTGGGCTTTAGAACTAGGCCAACTTAGATTTGACTCCAGGCTCTGTCTTTCACTGGCTCTATGGCCATGGGAAATACTGTGGTTTGAATTGTGTTTCCCCAAAAAGATATGTTGAAGTCCTAACCCCCAGTACCTCATATTGTGACTTTGGAAATAGAGTTGTTGCAGGTGTGATTAGTTAAGATGAGGTCTTAACTGGAGTAGGGTGAGCTCCCAATGCAACATGGCTGGTGTCCTTAAGGAAGATGACCATGCGAAGACCCAGACACAGGGAGAATAGCTTGTGAAGATGGGGGCAGTGATGGGAGTTTGGATGCATCTGCAAGCTAAGGAATCCCAAGGATTGCCAGCCGTCGCCAGAAGCTAGGAGAGAGACATGGAACAGTTTCTCCCTCACCACTCTCAGAAGGAACCAACCCTGCCAACACCTTTATTTCAGAATTATAGCCTTGAGAACTGAGAGAGAAGACATTTTTGTTGTTTTAAGCCACTCAGTTTGTGGTGTTTTGTTATAGTGGTCATAAGAAATCACTTATGACCACTATAACAAAGTGGATGGGAGGTTCCTTGAGTTTTATGAGCTTCAGTATTCTCATCTGTAGAAATGCTATAACACTCTACATCAGGGGTCCTCAAACTTTTTAAACAGGGGGGCAGTTCACTGACGTAGCCCGATTACAGGAGGGGGGATGACACTGAACGTAAAATAACGACACAGACACACATGGACATGACAATGACTCGAGTGACCAATGCACCGGTCGCTTTATTTTTATACCCCCCAGACCCAAGGTTAGTTCCTTGTACGTGAGCATCTGAGCATAGCAGCGATATCAGTCAATTCCGGAGTTGTTTTAAAAGGGAATAATCTTTTATGGTCTCAGACCTTAAAACGGTTATTAATGTTAAGGTGCCGGACACAGCTAGGCAACATAAAACAATGCAGCCATTTGAAGTGCTTCTTGGTCTCAATCTTAGGCAGCGGCTCTTTTTTGGCCCCCACGGTTGTGCCTGTTAGGTTGCCCCTCTCCATGGGGAGTCTTACCCGTCATTGACTACCAACCATTAATTGGGGGCCAGTTTTTGGGAGAGTTTTTTTTTGTTCTTTATGGCCTCCAGACTCCCACCACGGGGGCCCTCCGTGTGGGAGTTGGGAGCATTTGCTTATGTGCAACAACTCAGGCTGCTTATTAAGTCACAAGGCAGCAACCGTGTCTGAAGAAAATGCTGACTGCTGCGTCAGGCAGCACACGTACATTAAAGGCTGTAGTGAATGATTAGTATAAGGTATAACACCAGAATCAGCCCCCAACAGTTCACCGTCCCTCAGACCGTTGGAGGGCCGTTGGAGAGTGCGGTGCACATTCCACACCTGCGCACTGTGGGCCGGGGACAAGTCGGCTGCTAAGCAGGACAGGCAGCGGCGGCAAAACCACCATGGGCCGGATAAGGATAAATGTCCTCGGTGGGCCGCATGTAGCCCTCAGTCTGCGGTTTGAGGACGACGGCTCTACATCATGTGATTTTTTTTGTGTGTGTGACAAATGAGAAACAGCTTTACTTTCTTATTCTAGTGTAGAAAAGCAAGGCTGATGTGCTGATGTAGCTCACGTGTTTGCTCTCTTTGCTTCTCGTTGTAGCTGAGTGAGGAGTTGGACCAGGTGATTGAGAACTCAGAGCAGGCAGACAAGCTGGATGAAGAGACAATCAAAGTCCAAGGTCCGGGTTTCTTACCAGGTGAGTGGATTTAGTGCTGAAAGTAGAAGGGCCGGAAAACAGGGCTGTGCTGTTGCTGTAGGGGGAGGCCCCAGACCAGGCACTTCGCCAACTGTGGGAGAGGAGGAACCTCCTTCCCTGTACCCTGGTGTCAGATCTCAAGTATTGCCCTAGTTTTAATGCCATACATATTTAACCAGTCTCAGGACAGAGAATATGTCCAGGTTGGTATCTGCTGTTTTCTTTGCTCCAGTGTAAGCCAGTTCCTGTGACCAGGTCAGTGGATACAGTGGTAAATGCTTTGGGTCTCTGCTCTTCCATTCCTCCTTCCCTAGGAAGTTACTAGCAGGTGAGTCTCTAATATCCAGGCCACTGCCCAGAACCCTCTAGGAGGAGATCTAATAGGCCCTACCTCACAGATACCAGGCCTGTCCAGTATTGCTGCCCAGCTGGGTGAGCAGGATCCTATCAGTCAGTTGGCATCTTACAGAGCCTCACAGTAATATTTAACAATGTTGACAACTTCTTCCTCCTAGGTACACTCTGTAGCTTTTATGTTGTAACAGTTCTCAGCCCAGTCTTTCCATGGTCCTTTGCAGTCATTGTCTAGCTCTTGGGCATTACATGTTTGTCGTAGGCCCCCTTCTCTCACTCTACTGGGCCATCTCCCCCAGGCCTGCTTCACTGCTTGCTCACATGTGACTCCCTTGCTTGCATCCCTAGCCCAGTGGTTACCTATAAACTCCAGACTTATATATCCTACATAGCCAACTGCCCAGGTGATAGCTCTGTTTGGTTGTCCCAAAGCTATCCTAAACATATATCCAAAATTGACCTCGTGATCTTCTCATTCCCAGAGTAGTCCTCTTCCCATGTTCCCTGTTTCTGGGAATGGCACCACCACTCATGTAGTTGAATTTTGGAGTCATTCTTCCTTCCTTTCCTTCATCCCTATTTCTCTGCCCCTCAGCCATGCTGACCTTTTATTTTAGACCTCATTTCCTCCCATCATAGGGCCTTTTTGTTTTATTCCTCTGCCTGGAATTTTCTCCTGCCACCTAGTTAATGCCTAATCATTCTGCAGCTCCCAGCTCACTCATTTTTTTTTCTCCACAGCCGCCTTTGACCTCTTAGCTGGATCTCCTCTCATCCTCCAACACTGTCTCTCATAGTCTAAACCTCACCTTTGTAGCTCTTGCTGTTAGAACGGTATACTTGTTTGACCATCTGACTAATGTCTGTCTATCTGTTCTACTAGAATGAAACTCCCTGAGGGCAGAGACTGGCTTGTTTTGCTCACCACTTTTACCTTGACCATGCAGTAGATTTGTTCAGTGAATAAAAGAGTGAGTGGAGCCCCAATTTGACTCCAGCTCTTAGGGTCGATTGGGGGAGGTGGAGTTTTGTTCCTCCTGATTCCTCTATTTGTTGGGGAGGGGAATAGGATAGGAACTTCTGGGATTCTGCCTGCTCCTTAGAGAAGACCATGTAAAAGGAAGGAGGCTGGAAGGGCAGCTAATGTTTCCTGATTGCTTTCTCTGTGCCAGACTTTGTCCTACCCATGCCCCATTTAATTCTCATAACAATCCTGTGAGGTGATCATCTTCCTTTTACAGATGAGGACCCCAGGCTAAGGGAAGTTAGGTAAAGCATGAGAAGATCACATGGTTGGTAAACAGACTGAATCAAACTCTGTCTGACCCCAAATTCTTTCTCCTATACCAGTGATTTTAAAATCTTTTAAGCATTCTTTTATTAAAGCCCAATATGTAAAAGATAGTGGCCTGGCTACCTCCTACTCTGCTATTAGGCCTACCTCAGAAGCCCTGAGGCTCTAGGTAGAGCAGTTTGAAAGCTTTGTATATTAGTGTCCTCTTGTTTCTATAACAAATTACCACAAACTTAGTGGCTTAAAACAATGCAAATTATCTTACAGTTCTGGAGGTCAGGAATCCAAAATGGATCTCACTGGGCTAAAATTAAGGTGTCAGCTGACCTGAATTCTTTTCAGGAGGCTGTAGGGGAGAATCTGTTCCTTCCCTTTTTGGGCTTCAGGACACTTCCTGCATTGCTTGGCTTGTGGCCCCTTCCTCCAACTTCAAAACCAGCAGTGACTGGTTGAGTCTTTCTAGCATCACATCACTGACACTCTTCTGCCTCCCTTTTCCATGTTTAGAGTCCTCGTGATCACACTGGGCCCACTCAGATAATCCCGAATATATTTACAGGTTCTAAGAATTAAGGCTTGGACATCTTTGGGAGTCTTTATTTTGTCTACCACACCCTGAACTATCCTCTTGCCCCCAGGGGCAAGTGCAAATCTAAACCACAATAAGATACCACTTCATAACTACTAGGATGTTTATAATGAAAAAGATGGCTGATAAGTTTTGGTGAGGATGTAGGGAAATTAGAACCCCCCATACACTGCTGGTGGAAATGTAAAATGGTACAGCTGCTTTGGAGAACAGTCTGGGAGTTTCACAAAAGGTTAAATATAGTTACCATATGACCTAGCAATTCCACTTCTAGGTATATACTCAAGAGAAATGAAAACTTATATCTACATGAAAACTCATGTGCACAAATAAACTTGTACATGAATGTTCATAATGGCATTATTTGTAATAGCCAGAAATAGAAATAACCTAAATGACCATCAGCTGATGAATGGATAAAATGGTATATTCATACAATGGAATATTATTTGGCAATAAAAAGGAATGAGGAACTGATATACATGCTACAACTTGGGTGAATCTTGAAAACATTAAGTGTAAGAGGTCAGACACAGAAAGCCACATGTGTGATTCCATTTATGTGAAATCTCCAGAATAGGCAAATACATAGAGACAGAAAGTAGATTAGTGGTTGCCAGGGAAGGAGTGACCACTCATGGGTATAGGGTTTCTTTCTGGGTAGTGAAAATGTTCTGTAATTAGATAATGGTGATGTTTTCACATCTTATGAATATACTAAAAACTGAATATGTTCACTTTAAAAGTTTACATACCATAAAATTTACCCTATCTCCAAAAAAAGCCCAAATAAAACCCATCACTAAAAAAGAAAGACAGATGAAGAATTCAGAATGCATCTTAGCCCAGTGCCCTCTGCAAGGTAGAATTTCACAGAGTTATGGCAGATAGCTAGACTCCTGTCCTCTGAATAAAGGTCCCATGATGTTTTCAGAAACTGAATTGTCCATCACAGATCCCCTTAGTGGCCTGACTTACATTCTGGGGCAAGTTTGGCTTTTTGAAGGAATTCTGTCATGGATTTTACAAAACACATAAATTACCTTTTGCAGGAAAACCTTGTGCATTATTTTTGTCTTTCTACTACCATACATTTGCATTCAGGTAAAGGATGTATACTTTTAAAACACATTCATCTAGCTTGCCACAAAAAAGCCAGTGTTCAGTCTCTCACTGCAGAGTGTGTGGGATGTTTTGTCAAATAGCATCTTTTTTTTTTTTTTTTTTAAGGTAAAAATGTAATGGTTTCTAGTTTCAGAATTGGAATGTTACTTACAGCAAGTGTGGATAATACGTAAATACAGGGTGTCCCAAAAGTCACCATACATAGGGAAAATGGAAAATTGTAGCTAAATGTACCTTTATTGATGAAATATTCATTATAAAATTTTTCCTTTGTATAGAAACTTTTGGGACACCCTAGTTTTATTTACATCACACTTCTATTTGTGGATCAAGAAAAGCCCATAAAGAAGTTAAACCTGGCTTCTGTGAGTGAAACAGAGGAGGAAACTTTTGGTCAGTATTCCTGTGAGAGTAATTTGTTCCCAACACATCTGCCAAACAACTCATAGTGACATAATTGGCATAACTGGCCTTTTTTATTGTACCTTAATTTTTTTTTTTTTTTTAAGAATTTTCAAGAACATGTAGAGAGAACTTCATCTCTTTCTCTAACCAAAGGCATCAAGAGGGCAGAGCATTTCAGATCATATTTATCTGGCTTATAGCGGAGTAGACACCTGTCCACAAATGCCAGTCATTGCTCCTCTTTGTCTTAATGTTTAGCCTGCATGTAATAAACAGTTTGCTGTAAAAGTATCCCAGACTTCTCTCCTTGTTATGAAGTTACCTTCTTTTAATTAGAGCTTTTATCATCATTAATGATTGGAATTTTAAATGTAAACATTCACTGCTGTGAAGGGAAAGAGCACTGGGCTTGGAGTTGGGACTGTAGGACTCTGATTCTGGTTGTGCCAGTTACTGGCTGTGGGATCTGGATTGCTGTGCAAGGAGTGGGGTTGGGCCAGATGGCCTGTTAGATCCATACCAACTCTTAAAGCTTTGATTCGGATGTTATGCACCCAATCAGTCACTTCAGAATTCCTTTAGTTTTATCTTGTGATCTTTTCAAACCCTATTAGAATGTGGCAAGCTGGTACTTGTTGCCACTGCAGTTATGAGCAGCTCATGACAGTGGATGTGTTCTTACCCAGTCTGTTGTGAAGTACACCCATGGTCCTACATGGTTGTGCCTTCCAAGCTAAATGGCTATGGGTAGATTCCTATGCACAGACCACCCTGCTTTGGATCCTGTGGTCCTGCAGCCCGGCTATACCTAACTGGTCAGGGATCAGTGCCCGAGAAGGGGAAGCTGTCTGTAGAGGATAGGCACGAAGGAGGACGTGTCTTGTGAGGTATGCAATGGAGGGCCGTATATAGGGTACTCTCTGGGAGAGGATTTGAATGCAAGACTCACAGAGAAGGACTTAGTAAAGTAGGGACAGGGTCACGAGAGAAACATGGAAAGAAGGCAGATAGCAAATCTGTGAGGGAGCAGGAATCGATAGTTTCTAATAGCAATAGGTAGAAGCAGAAGTGGAATCAAAGACGAAAGAATTGCTTGAGTTCCCTTTGGACAACTAGACTTGCTGTGGACCTTTGTGGCTTAGTTCTCAGCTGCCCATTTCCCTGGTCTGTCTTTCTCTCTGGAGCTGCAACCTCCATTGCCCACAGTAACCTGTTCTTTACAACCTGAAGGGGCCTCACTGCCCTTCTGGGAATTTGCACTCTTGTGTAAAGAAAGTAAAAACTTCTTAAGGTATTTTTTCCAGAAAATAGCAAGGAACACTCATTGGTTTATAGTTTTACGTGTCTGAAATGTACTAGTATTCTCTGACAAATTGAGTTAGCATTGCAAGACTTAGTTCGACTATTATTTGAGTTGTTTATTCATTTAACAGACATGGAAACATTATGTGTCTACTATGTGGAAGGCACTGTATTCTGCCCCGCCACTATTTTGTTTCTCTTGTTCTTTCTTGAAAATTATAAACCTCACAATGTTGTTGTGGAATAACTTTTGCTTTAGTTTTAAATTTTAAAAAATTAGCTTTTTGTATTTACTCCCCCATTTAACATTTTCAGTAATCTTTACATCTGAGAGTTATAATCTGGTGTCATTTCCCTTTAGCTTTCAGAATTTTCTTTAGCATGCATTATAGTGCAGGTCTGCACCTTTTCTCTGAGCTTTTGTGTTTGAAAATATCTTTATTTCATCTTTATTTTTGAAGTTTTGCTGGATGTAGAATTCTGAGTTGACAAAATACTTTTTTCCTTCAGCACTTTAAAGATATTGTGATATTGTTCCGTTGTCTTTTTTGGGAAACAGAATCTCACTCTGTTGCCTGGCTAGAGTGCCGTGGCGTCAGCCTAGCTCACAGCAACCTCAGACTCCTGGGTTCAAGCAAGCCTTCTCCCTCAGCCTCCTGAGTAGCTGGGACTACAGGCATGCGCCACCGTGCTGGGCTAATTTTTTTCTATATATTTTTAGTTTGGCCAGTTAATTTCTTTCTACTTTTAGGAGAGACGGGGTCTCGCTCTTGCTTAGGCTGGTTTTGAACTCCTGATCTTGAGCGATCCTCCCGCCTCAGCCTCCCAGAGTGCTAGGGCTTACAGGTGTGAGCCACCATGCCTGGACTGTTCAGTTGTCTTTTGACCTCTGATATTTCTGTTCAGAAATTAGTCATCATTAGTATCAGTCCCTTATATGTAATATGTCCCTTTTTTCTGACTTCTTTCGAGATTTTTCTCTTATCTTTACATTAGCAGTTTGACTGTGATTTGCCTCAAGATAGTTTTCTTATTTATCCTGTTTGGCATTTATTGAGCTTCTTGGATCTGTAAATTGATGTCTTCAGTTTTGGGAAGTTTTGGCCTATTTTTTCAATATTTTGTGACTCATTTTTTTTCTCTCCAGTTATATGCCTTAGATGCCTAGATATTGTCACATATTTATCTGGACTCCATTTTCTTCTTCAGTATTTTTTCAGATTGGATAATTTCTATTCATTGAACTTCAAGTTCATTGACTCTTTTTTTCCTGCCATCTTCTGCTGTTAAGCCTGTGCAGGGAATCTTTCGTTTTATTTCTTGTCAGCTCTAGAATTTCCATTTTGTTTTTAAAAATTTGATAAAACTTTTCTTCTTGTGGTAAGATACATATAATGTAAAACTCACCATCTTAATCATTTTTAAGTGTACAGTTCAGTGGTATTACGTACATTCACAGTGCTATGCAGCAACCATCACCTCCATCTCTACAACGCTTTTCATCCTATAAAACTGAAGCTATATATTCAGCTCTTTTCTTATAGTTTCTATTTCTCTATTTACCCTCCCCTTATTCCTTATTTATGTATTTTCCTTTAAATGCTGTCAAGTTCCTGTCTGCTAATGGCAACATACAGATCATTTGATGTTGGTTTTTATGGATTGCCTTTTTTCTTGAGTATAGGTCCCATTGCCTTGTTTCTTAGCATGTCTAGTGATTTCTGACTGAACACTGGAAATTATGAATGATACATTATAGATATTCTGGATTCTGTTATGATCTTCTGAAGAATTTTTATCTTAGCAGGTAGTTAATATGGCAAGACTTAGGCTCTAAACTCCTATCCTCCCTGCACTAGCAATAGTTGAAATCTCCACTCAGTTTTTTCATTTATCAGTTGCTGCTTTTTTGCTGGTCCCCTTGGGGTCTCTAGCCAAGAGTTTGAACATTTGCAGATTTGGGAGGTTCACCCTATTTGACTGCTTCCTTCCAAGATTTCTTATTAACTTTCTGGCTGCCCTTCCATCCCTGAACTCTATCCTTGGCCACCCTGAGGCATGCCTTAAAAGGGATTGGCATCTGCCCTTAGGCAAAAGGCTACAGATTTACAAATCTCACCAGGTGCAGTTCTTCTCTTTCAAGGGTAGACTCTTCCAGTTTCTGCCTGCTTTTGGTCATTCTCCTGTGCTCTCAAATTATTTTAAATAAATTGTTGAAATTTGTCATTGTTAATTGTTATCTGTGGAAGGATGGTATTATGACCAAGCTACTTTGTCACTGCTGGAAGGAAGAAGCCAACCAGTTACCTTTTTGAGCTTACATTCAGACACTTCCTTTGTCCTTGTGCCCAGCTGTGCTATGGATGAAATAGGGCTTTTCCTGTTTTCAGCTGAGGAGTGGCAGGGAGTGGGGAGTGGGGGGGGGGCACAGGGAACCCTGTGGGATTATTTTAGCTCTGGCTGCTTTAACAAAATACTACAGGCTGGATAGCGTAAACAGCAGAAATTTCTTTCTTACAGTTCTGGAGGCCAAAAGCCCAAGATTAAGGTGCCAGCAGGGTTGGTTTCTGGTGAAGGAGGCCTCTCCTTGGCTTGCAGATGGCAACCTTCTCATTGTATACCCACATGAACATTTTTCTGAGTGCGTGCACTCCTGGTGTGTCTTCCTCTTCTTGTAAGGACACAGTCCTGTTGGATCAGGGCCCTATCTTTATGACCCCTTTAAATTACTTCCATAAGGGCTCTGTCTCCAAATACAGTCACATTGGAGGTTGGGCTTCAACATATGAATTTTGATGGAAGATGTGGTTTCATCCTTAACAGTGATTGATCTAGGCTCAGGACGGTGTGAGGGAGGTAGGGGAGGCAGAGCTGTGTTGTACAAATGGCATCAGGACACATTTACTCAGTCACCATGTAAATGCGGAATGCCTGCCATGTTCTAGGCACAGCGTGAAGGACAGGGAATTCAGTTCTGGATAAGACTGGCCCTGCCCCTGCCCTCAGGGAGCTTGCAGCCTAGGGGGATAAAAAGACATATAGACAGTGATACAGCAGAGTGATGAAGTAGGGGGACATGTAGGGCTTCCTGGGAACGATGATGAAGGGTTACCCAAATAAAGGTAAGGGGTCAGGGAAAGGCTTACCCAAAAAATGTCTTTCTAAATTGAAACCTGGAGGATGAGTTAGGAGTCAGCTGTGGAAAAAAAGTGCTTCAAGCCAAGCACAGGGAATGGCAAATGTGCAAGGCTCCAGGGTTGGGAAGGGCCTTCTGTAAGACAAGAAAGTCCATTGGTGGACCTGGGGAACTGGGGAAGTGGAGTGGTGAGGGGTAAAGTTAGAGGTGGGTTGGGGCCAGCTCACTTGTTGGATTGTAGCTGCCTATCTTTCTAGAGAGTAAACTCCTTAAAGACAATAAACGAGTCTCCTTCAGCTTGGTGCCCTCTGCCTGGTAGTAAATGTTTGCAGGTGCCCTTTTGTTATAGTTTGGAGGGTGAGGTAAAAAGGTTGGGGGTGTGGGTGATCTCCTCCTGGGTAAGGCAGGTAAGTACCTGGAGGTTGCTGGCTGTCTCTGGCTGTACCTTGCCCGTGTGTGCTGGGTCACATGATGTTTTGTTGTTGTCAGGCCTGGACAGCGAGTCCGTCTCCAGCAGCATCCGCTTCAGCAAGGCCTGCCTGAAGAATGTCTTCTCGGTCCTGCTTATCTTCATCTACCTGCTGCTCATGGCTGTGGCCGTCTTCCTGGTTTACCAGACCATCACGGACTTTCGTGAGAAACTCAAGCACCCTGTCATGTCTGTGTCCTACAAAGAGGTGGATCGCTATGATGCCCCAGGTAGAGCCTGCTGTGGACCAGGCACCCTCGACTGGCAGAAACTCCCTGAGCCGCCATTGTATTCCTAGCACAGTGCCGGGCACTACAGGCAGGGTGGAGGGTAGTCTAGGTGTCGGATACACACCCAAAGAGCTGCTGACAGGACCCTGCAGAGTGTTATGTTTGCACACCACCCTGGAACGGTTACAGCAGAACTGGGGTGGTCAAGGGAAGCTTTGCAGAGAGGTAGGATTTGAGCTGGGCTTTGTAAAGCATATAGGTAGGAAGAGAGTGTTTTCTAGGAGGATCAGCAGGAGTGAAGGGGAGTATGGGGAGGCAGAGAGCCTCTCTGGAAAGGAGGGGACTAGTCTGGCTTGGCCCAGAGGCCAGGGTTGAGGGGAAGTGAGAGTCAAGGCTGGACTGTGGGGTGGGGGGGTGGCAGAGGAGGTAAGGCCACTCAGAGATAGGCAGGGGTCCTGCCTGGAGAGGGCTCCCAGGCCACACTGTGTATACCTCTCCTGCCCCTGAGGGGTCTGGTCCCTGACTGGGATGTCAGCTTGGTTCTAGACTGTCTGCTCTGTGTTATTGGGCTAGTGTTGGGCGCTTTGGAGGCCACAGAGTAAATGGGGAGGCATGAGCTCTGTCACTTCAGGCTCTTCCCACCCAGTATGTGCCAGGTGCTCTGTCAATGCCCCTGAGCAACCCTCAGGAGAGCCTGCTACAGGGCAGAGCCAGCACAATCAGGTGTGCCGGTCATGGCTCGTCTGCCCATCTTTGCCCGTCTTGTACTTGTCCCTCTTTATCTTTGGGTTCTGCTTTCTGTGTCTGTTCTCTTGGTCTTGCAACTCTGTGTCTGATGCCATGTGCTACTCTCTCAGCATTTCTGCGAGAATGGAACAACTGTCAGTAGAGCCTTGAGCGAGGTCCATGGGCTGGGGGAGAGGGAAGGACTATTGGCATGCAACTCTCCCACACTTGGAGCTCCCAATCAGAGCAGAGATGACAGATGAAATGAGTTCTGGGGAATCCCATAGCTTAGAGCCTCCCAGCATTCTGCGGGTGGGTGACGGGCCAGAGGGATCGGCACAGTTGGGCTCAGTCAGGGATCAAGGAAGGCTCCTTCAGAGTGTGTGGAGCAGGTTTTAGTGTGGGCATCGGGTGGCTGTATCCTAAGCCAGCAAGGGGCTTACCGAGGAGGGGCTTGTGCCTTCCACTAGAGTAGGGCTTCTGAGGGCAGGGATGCAACTCCCCTCCCCTGTAAGCTTTTTCTTCTCCCTTCTCTGCAGTCACCTGGGGAGTCTAAAACATAGATCATTGGTGGGTGTGAGAAGATTTCAGGGGTGTGGTCAGGGACTGTGACTTCTGACATTTGCTTTTCCCTGTTTGTGCCCCCAGGTATTGCCCTATATCCTGGTCAGGCCCAGTTGCTCAGCTGTAAGCACCATTACGAGGTCATTCCCCCTCTGACGAACCCCGGCCAGCCAGGTGACATGAATTGTACCACCCAGAGGATCAACTACACGGACCCTTTCTCCAATCAGACCGTGGTAACTGTCTCCCAGAGCTGGGTCTGGGCAGTGTGCTCGGTTAGCCCCATACCCCAAGGGCCCACGTGTTCTTCCCAGGAGGCCTTCTCCCACTTACTGGGTGTGGGGCCTTGGTCCTGAGTAGACACTTGGCAGTGCCAGGTGGACCTTTTGCTGTGGCTGGCTCGCCTGCATTCAGGGAGGACAGGGAGGCCTTCTTCCATTGCTGAGTGATCCTCGGGAATCCTGACGGTGTGGTGAGACCCTGTCCTTGATGGGAGAATGGCAAGGCTAAAGAGCAGGGCTGGTGTGATGTAGCAGAGTGGGTCTCATACCTGACCCTTGACGGATTCACCAGGATAGTTTTTGAAAATATAGATTCCCAGGTTTCATGTGAAGCAAATTACATCCATAATTCCTGAGGACAGGGCCTGGGAATCCATATTTTGAAATAAATGTGGCAATGTAAAGAAGGAGTGTTGGTCTGGGGACGAGGACTCCTGGGCCCTGGCTTGGCTCTGCTGTCACGCACAGTGCTGCTGGGAGTGGTGACAGAGGGAAGGGGCTCTGAGCAGCAGGAGCAGCACCTGCACAGGGTTTGAAGGCAGGGTAGGAATTTTGTATTAACTTACATCTTATCTTTTCTAATCTCATATCTTTGCTTCAGAAAAGATTTAAAGGGGCTGCAATTGTTTTTTAGATCAAGAGGGAAGGAAAGGTTTTCTAGGCAGAGGAAACTGCACACCAGGACCTAAAGAGAAGAGACAATATGTTGTGCTTGTGCCTCTGGACAAAATTACAGTGCAGGCAAAGTGTTTTAGAGGGTCAGAGTAATGGGAGAGGAAGCTGTGGACAGAGTAACAGCCAGATGGTAAAAGCCCATGTGTTGTGCTGTAGAGCCAGACTTGCTCCTTTGGGTGACAGGGAGGTATTAGTGAGTTTTGGGATGAAAGAATCACACTAAGAATTTTCTGTCAGTATGGCTTCCTCCTAAAATCCTGCTGAAATGATTCCTACTCCAGAATAGAATAGACCACCATAGAATAGAACAGATCTACAGATCTATTTTATGCTAACCTATTGTGATCTATTTGATCTATTTTGATCCATTCTATTCTATTCTGATCTATTCTGCTGATCAATTCTGATATTCTATTCTGATCTATTTGATTCTGATCTGTACTGAACTGTTCTGATCTTATTCTATTCTGATTCTTCTATTCCTATTTTAATTCTAATTTATTCCTATTCTAATTCTAATTCCATTCCATTGTGTTCCATTATGTTTAATTCTATTCCAATTCTATTCTAATTCTATTCAATTCTATTTTAATTCTCATTCTGTTGAATTTAATTCTATTCCTTTTCTAATTCTGATCCCATTCTATTCCAATTGTAATCCTGTTCCTGTTGTAGTTCTATTATGATTCTCTTCAATTTAATGCTATTTCTATTCTAATTCTGATCCTATTCTAATTCTAATCCTATTCCAGTTGTAGGCCTCATATTCTCATTGAATTCTAATTCTGTTCCTATACTAATTCTATTCCTATTCTAATTCTAGTCCTTGTCTATTCCTCTTCTAATCCTATTCCTGTTCTTAATTCTAACCCTATTTCAGTTGTGTCTCTCTTCTAATTCAAACTGTTCTATTCCCATTCTAATTCTATTCTATTTAATTCTAATTTTTATTCAGTTTAATTCTATTCCTCTTCTAATACTGATTTTATTCTAATTCTAATCCTATTCCTGTTGTACTTCTAACTGTATTCTAGTCCTAATTCTATTCAATTCAACTTATAATTTAATTCTGTTCCATTCCATTCCATCTCATTCCATTCTGTTCTATTGCATTCCCTTCCATTCTGTTCCATTGCATTCTATTCAGTTGTATTCTGTTCTAATTCTGTCTTGTCACTGTGCTGTCCCTTGGGTGTTGTTCTGGTCCATAAGGTCAGTTTGTGTGCACATGCCCACTCCTGAGAAGGTGAGCAGTAGAGGATAGGCAGTTCCCTTTGAAGGATAACACAGAGTTGGCATGATTCACTTTTTCACACATTCTAGGACTTCATCACACGGCTACAGCAGGGGCACTGTATTCAGCTGAAATCTGGGATTGGGAAGTGGTTCTGGTACTAAAAGAAGAAATGGATAATGGAAACTGGGGACAGTTAGCATTCTCAGCTGCACACTTAAAATGTCAAGAAAGGTTGAAAGTAAATGGATGGACACAGATCTGTTGGAAGAATACTGCAATAACCAGAAGTGGAGTGGCAGTATTAACATGAGTCAGTAGGGAATTCCAGGTGTAAAGGGTTAAAAGAAGGCTGTTTAATATTGATAGGAGGCTCAACTCCTCTCCACTAAGATGAGTTAATAGTCATAAATCTTTATGTACAAAATAGCATGTCATTTATGTATTTTAAGCAAAACCTGTTAGAAATAAAGTATGTCAGCACCTTAGAGTATGACTTTAACACCCCTTTCAGAAGTTCACAGATCAAATAGATAAAAAGTAATAGTAAGAATTGAATAGCACAATTAATAAATTTAGAGCATGTATGTGTGTGTGTATACAACTTTGTACCTGACAATATACTCTTTTCAAATGTCTGTAGAGCATTTATAAAAGTTGATGTTAAAATATTTTTTATCAGCTGGGTGTGGTAGCTCACATCTATTAATCCTAGCACTTTGGGAGGCTGAGGCAGGACAGTCGCTTGAGGCTAGGACTTTGAGACCAGCCTGGGTAACAGTGAGACCCCAGCTCTATAAAAAAATAAAGGAAAAAATTAGCCAGGCGTGACTGTACATATCTGTAGTCCCAGCTACTTGAGAGACTGAGGCAGGGGGATTGCTTGAGGCCAGGAGTTTAAGGTTGCAGTGACCTATGACAACACCACTGCACTCTAGCCCAGGTAACAGAGTGACACCCTGTCTCAGAAAAAAGAGATTTTTTTCTCTAATTCATAAATTCAGTTTTATCACAGTTAGAAGTCCCTATGGGTTTTATTTATTTATTATTGGTGGAACTCAGCAAGCTAGTTCCAAAGTACATTTAGAAGAGCACATGTACAAAAATATCCAAGACAGGGTTGGGGGATGGGAGGAGTCACATGGAGGGGTCTTGCTCAGTAAAATATTAGAACAGTATAAAAGCACAGGGGTCAAAGCAGTACAGTACTAGCACAGAGACAGACAAATAAATTTATAGATCATATGAGGGCCAGGAGCAGACCTATATATTCTCTACTTGAGTTTAGTATAGGATAAAGGAGAAAAAGGGGAAGGGGCTTTAAAACCTCTGTTTGGAGGCAAGGAGTTAGAGCTCTGTTTCACACTGTTTACAAAACTTAAAGCCAGGTATATAAAATATCTAAATGTAAAAAAGACTAAAAAGTGCTATTAAGAAATACAGGAGAATATTGAATATAATTTCAGCTTTCTTTAGCAAGCAAAACCCAGAAGCCATAAAGAAAAGGATTAATCAGTTTTACTGTATTAAATTTAAAGCTTCCATATAACAAATGACGTTGGCAACAAAGTAACAGACTGGAAGAAAAGATTTGCACATGTAGCAGATGGAAGTGATTGTCCTTGGTACAGAGCTTCTATAGTTCAACCAGGCATGAGAAGAGTGGACAGAGGATGAGTTGCATTTGGTTCTGGTTTGGGCACCACGCTGAGAAAAGCCCCCAGGCGGAGCGGGGTCTTGCACGCAGGCCTGCGCTTCCTGACCAGGCCCATCTGGCCAGCAGGCGACTGGAGGCTGCTGGGCGAGGAGCTGCGGGCTTTCCAGTCAGCGCTTCCGCCCGCAGACCCAGAGGCTTCTGTGTGTGTCAGGTGAGTGTGGAGAGGGACCATGCAGCTCTCCCTGGACTGAGATTCTGTCCTTTGTCTTCCTGCAGAAATCCGCCTTGATTGTCCAGGGGCCCCGGGAAGTGAAGAAGCGGGAGCTGGTCTTCCTCCAGTTCCGCCTGAACAAAAGTAGCGAGGACTTCAGTGCCATTGATTACCTCCTATTCTCTTCTTTCCAGGAGTTCCTGCGAAGGTGGGCTTTTATAGTTCACAGTAGGCTGGCTGTCTACTTCTTAAATCTTATTCCAGCCTTGTACTTGCCTAGGCTTGGGAAGTGGGGGTGGGGGCAGGGGTAGGGAAGCAGTGTTGCCAGGGGACCCACTGGCCCAGGAAAGGACCTCATGAGCTTGGCTGGTCCATTAAACCTCTCATAGTAATGAAGTTCAGCAAAGTCCAGTGGAGCATTCTGGCTTATCATGCACAGAGTGCTGGGTGGTTCTGGAGAGATCATTTGGTCTGGCCATTGCTGGGGGGCTGCCTTCGATTTGCAAGCCCCCTTGAGGGCAGGTCCCTGCCTGGTATCTTGGTTTCCCTTGTAGTGTGCATGGAACCATGTTTTGCCCTTAATGAGGGATCATTGTGTGTTTTCCATTAAAACAATTGACCCTTGAGCAACTCGGGTGTTGGGGCATCGACCCCCATGCAGCTGAAAATCTGCATATAACTTTGACTCCACCAGTACTAACTACTAATAGCCTACTATTGACAAGAAGCCTTACCAGTAATAACATAACAGTTGATTAACACATTTCGTATATTACACAAATTATACACTGCATTCTTACAATAGAGTAAGCTAGAGAAAGTTCTCAATAAAACCATAAGGAAGAGAAAATGTATCTTCTATTAAGTGGAAGTGGATAATCATAAGGGTCTTCATCCTCATCATCGTCTTGTTGAGTAGGCTGAGGAGGAGGAAGGGGAGGGATGGTTCCTGCTGTGTCAAGGTGGTAGAGGCAGAAGAAAACCCATGTAAAAGTGGAACCATGCAGTTCAAACCTGCATTGTTCAAGGATCAGTGGTATCTTGAGTATGTTGGCTGCCCTTGGTCTTTTCTTACAGAGATGAATGTCCCCTGACCGTAAAAACGTTCTTGTCTGTTCCACACATGCTGCTTCAAGGTCACACTGCGGTGCCATATCTGGGGCCCAGAGTGCCCGTTAAGGGCAGGTGCATTTTCTGCATGTTCATGAGCTGAGGGTGACTCAGTCCCAGCTAGGTCTCACTGAGCTGAGAGGCTCCATTCAGAGTGAGCAGGGAGGCTGCTCCCCAGCTGAACAGGAAGCAAGCGCCATCCTTCTTCCCCTGGGGCACAGAGCTTCTGCCTTAGCATTTTTCTATCCTTTCTGCCACCTAGAATTGCCTCTCCCTCCCCCGCTTGAAGTCGGCTTGTTTTACCTTCCCCCTGGAAGACTTTCCAAAGGATCCCACCCCTGCTGTTTTCCTTTCATGAGCTTCTTTAGTACAGTGCTGCAGTTTCTACTTGCTTATGTGTGCTTTGATATGCTGCATCTACATCACCCTGGGGCAGATGCTATGGGCGTCTCATCTGGCTGAGACCTCCCCAAGGAATCCTTTTCCCCTCTCTGGGCCTTCCAGAGGGAGTTGACAGGCCATTGGAGGCTTCCTCAGGCTGTTTAAGTCCAGAGTTCTCAGAGGAGCCAGGTGTACCATGTTGTGGGGAGTGTCTTCAAATGTCAGTACTGATTGCTTTGGGAGCAGGTGGTAGGAAGGATGAGGTGGGAGGGAGGAGGAATTCTCCCATTGTGAGCTTCAGGATCATGCTCTTGCCTTCAGGCTGGTGACAGTTCCCCCTCCATTTGGAAACTGAATGGAAAGCAAGCAGGGATGGGCCTTGCTTTTGCTGGTGACTGACAAATGGCCCTGTTGAGAAAACCAAAATTTGGAGAGGAAGCAGGGAGTGGGCAGCATCCCGATTGTGCCAGCAAAGAAACCGGCTTGCAGTGGGGGCTGGAGTTTTGAGTCTGGTCATGTTGAGTCCTGCTATCAGGCCTGAATTGACCTGGATCTTTCTTCTCTCTGTCCTCCAAGCCCAGACAGGGTAGGCTTCATGCAGGCCTGTGAGAGTGCCTATTCCAGCTGGAAATTCTCTGGGGGCTTCCGCACCTGGGTCAAGATGTCACTGGTGAAGACCAAGGAAGAGGATGGGCGGGAAGCGGTGGAGTTCCGGCAGGAGGTAGGTGGCTCTGGGTTTGCTTGAAACTGCCGGCCACTTTTCCATACTTGAGTCTGGTGTGGAGGGAAGCTTTGCAGAAGAGAGGGTCCTTCAAGCAGGGTCTTAAGGGGGAGTAGACCTTGGCCAGGATGAGAAGGGACCCTGGCAGAGGGCTTCATACAGCATGCCAGGGAGCCCGTGTTCTTCTATAGGCAGTGCATATGCTGGCCAGTCCTCAGAGAACACACGTGCGGAGCAGAGATCACTGTGTCTTGCAGACAGATGGGTGACTTGCCCAGCTGTATCTGATGTCCTGCATCCAGCGGTACTCTGAGAGCTGCTGGCAACAGCATGACAAATCTGTTATTTGCGGGGCAGAATAACAGATTTTTTTCCTGAGGTGGGGCTTCTAGTCTGGACACGGTAGTTTCTTAAGCGTCATGCACATGATGATCCATTGAGATGCTGGAGGAAAAGAACAGCTTTTTTTTTGGTATTTATTTTTATCTCATCCTTTTAACATTTCAATTTTTGGATGTATAAAATGTGTATAACATTAGAATAGTAAGTGTACATTATATGTCACCTATGAAGTTACAAATATATGGGGTGCATGCTCAAAACGTTTTTACTAATGGGAAGTCTGATCAAAAAGCTTTCAGTCCACTGGCCTAGAGGCCAGGAGACATGCTAGGTGTCTCATTGCTATGATGCCCATGAGAGATGGTGAAGACTTTGGGAAAGATCTGGCAGTGGGGATGGAGATGGGAGATTTTGACTGCCTCAGTAGAGCTGCGAGTAAGTCACCAGCAAAAGCAAGGGCCATCCCTACTTCTTAGGCTTCTACCTAGGCAGCGGCTCTCTGCTCTCCTCCCGCATCCACACTGAGAGCATAAGTGGCCAGGTGCAGCAGAGGAAGCCGCTGTAACCTGCCTCTGTAACCTTTCTCCTCTCCATCACATCACACAGCCTCTTTAGTAATTGATAAACAGATCTTACCCAGCAAACCTGCTAAATATTTACAGAGAATGGTCAGCTGTGCAGATTTATGCAGCTATACTTTATCCCTGCAAACTTGAAGGGTTGAAATACTCAGCTCTTAAGATTAATATTTTGAAATTTGGGATTTTTTTTTTTTAATATTTTTGGAGATAGTCTTGTTCTGTCGCCCCAGCTAGAGTGCAGTGGCTTCATCATAGCTCATTGCAACCTCAAACTCCTGGGCTCAAGTGATCCTCCTGCCTTAGCCTTCCAAGTAGCTGGGACTACAGGCACACACTACTATGCCCAGCTAATTTTTCTATTTTTTGTAGACACAGGGTCTCGCTCTTACTCGGGCTGGTTTCAAACTCCTGAGCTCCAGCAATTCTCCCGCCTCGGCCTCCTAGAGTGCTAGGATTATAGACATGAGCCATGACACCAGGCCTTATTTTTTTTACTTTTAATTGTGATTTTGAGTATTGCATGGTAGTTTGAATATGGTTTAATTGTGATACCTAATGACAGATGTTGGGGACAATCTAAAACACCTATTGTACATCCCAGATCCTATGTGTCTCCCCAAAGAACCATACAAACTAAGGTAAAGCCTTTGCTCTGGTACCAGTATCAGGATCTTGTGTAAATGAGATTTTTGGTGCGCTCTCCCCTAAAGATGGTGTGAGGAGAGCCAAGGTCTGAGTTTCCCATCCTGCTCTCCTTTCCTGGGGCCCAGGCAAGGGAAGGGCACACAGAGATGGTAACAGTGCTTTCTCTTTCTGTTTACGTCTAGACGAGTGTGGTTAACTACATTGACCAGAGGCCAGCTGCCGAAAAAAGTGCTCAGTTATTTTTTGTGGTTTTTGAATGGAAAGATCCTTTCATCCAGAAAGTCCAAGATGTGAGTATTATTTAAGATTATGAGAACAAACTCCCTGCCCTGAAGCAGTTTTGGCTCATTCTTGTAGACTGGTAAGTCTGCCTTACGGTCCTCATCTCTCATAACACAGTTTGTAATCTACATTTAGGACATTGACGTTATGTATACTTGGTGTTTAACTGATCTTGTTTTCATCACTAGACTACTGTCTCTATGAAGGAGGGGACTTTGTTATTTTGTTCACTATAATTTATCTGGTATCTAGCAGAGTGCTTAGCAATATTACTGCTTAGTAATACTCATTGAATGAATTGAGTAGAAAATATTAAGTCACTATATAGAGTACCGCCATTGGAAGTTATTCTTTAATATTTCTCTGTAGGAAAGATATTTGTGGTAAGGCGGAACAGAAAGATAAAAGTAAATAATTGACAAAGCATCAATGCTAAATTCTTTTTTTAATTGATACATAATGTACATATTTATGGGGCACATGTGATATTTTGATATAGGCATACAAAGTATAATGATCAAATTAGTGTAACTGGGATGGGCATTATCTCAAACATTTATTATTTGTGTTAGAAACATTCTAAATCTTCTCATCTATATATTTTGAAATATACAATGAATTTTTTTTTTTTTTTTTTTTTTTGAGACAGAGTCTTACTCTGTTGCCGGGCTAGAGTGCCCTGGCATCAGCCTAGCTCACAGCAACCTCAAATTCCTGGGCTCAAGCGATCCTCCTGCCTCAGCCTCCTGGGTAGCTGGGACTACAGGCATGTGCCACCATGCCCGGCTAATTTTTATATTTATATATATATATATTTTTGTTTGTTTAGTTGGCCAATTAATTTCTTTCTATTTATACTAGAGATGGGGTCTCGCTCTTTCTCAGGCTGGTCTCGAACCTGAGCTCAAACGATCCACCTGCCTCAGCCTCCCAGAGTGCTAGGATTACAGGCATGAGCCACCACACCCGGCCTTACAATGAATTCTTGTTATAATAGTCACCCTACTGTACTATCTAACATTAGAACTTATTTCTTCTATTTAACTATATTTTTGTACCCATTAACTAACTTCTCTTTATTTCCTTCTTCCCCCTAACCTTCCCAGCCTCTGTAATTCTTGTCACCACCTCCATGAGATCAATTTTTTTTAGCTCCTATGTAATTAGAACATGCAATATTTGTCTTTCTGTACCTGGCTACACTTAACATAATGACTTCCAGTTTCATCCATGTTGCTGCAAATAACAGAATTTCATTTGTTTTTATGGTTGAATGGTATTCTATAGTGTGTATATGGCATGTTTTCTTTATCCATTAATCTGTTGATGGACACTTCGGTTGATTCTTTATCTTGGCTGCAATAAACATGGGGGTGCAGATATGCCTTTGATATACTTGTTTCCTTTTTTTGGATATATTCCAGATATGTATATCTGGATCATACGGTAGTTCTGTTTTTAGCTTGTTGAAGAGCCTCCATAATGTTTTTCCATATCGGCTGTACTAATTTACATTACCAACAACAGTGTATGAGAGTTCCTTTTTCTCCATATCCTCACCAGCATCTATTATTTTCTGTCTTTTTGGCAATAGCCATTTTAACTGGGGTAAGAGTATTTCATTGTGGTGTTTTTTTTTTTTTTTTTTTTTTTTTTTTTTTGAGACAGAGTCTCGCTTTCCGTGGCGTCAGCCTAGCTCACAGCAACTTCAAACTCCTGGGCTCGAGTGATCCTTCTGCCTCAGCCTCCCAGGTAGCTGGGACTACAGGCATGCGCCACCATGCCCAGCTAATTTTTTTTTTTTATATATATATCAGTTGGCCAATTAATTTCTTTCTATTTATAGTAGAGACGGGGTCTCGCTCTTGCTCAGGCTGGTTTTGAACTCCTGACCTTGAGCAATCCGCCCGCCTCGGCCTCCCAAGAGCTAGGATTACAGGCGTGAGCCACAGCGCCCGGCCTTTCATTGTGGTTTTGATTTGCATTTCCCTGATGATTAGTGGTGTTGAGCATTTTTTCATTAACTTGTTGGTATATCTGTATGTATTCTTTTTTTAAGACTAGTCAAGTGCAGTAATGGTAAAAGGGGATAGAGTAGAAGGAGTTTGATCTATGACTGTGAATAATCAATTGAGATAACTCACTAACATTGGACCAGCCTGTATTCTTTTGAGAAATGTTTATTCAGATCTTTTGCCCATTTTTAATTTGATTATTCTTTTTTCTATTGAGTTGTTTGAGTTACTTATATATTCTGATTAGTAATCCCTTGTCAGATGTGTAGTTTGCAAATATTTCCTCCCATTCTGTAGGTTGTCTCACTACTTTGTTAATTGTTTTCTTTGCTGTACAGTAGCTTTTTAGCTTGATGTAATCCCATTGTCTGCTTTTGCTTTTGTGGCCTGTGCTTTTGAGGTCTACCAAAAAAAATCTTTCCCCATACCAGTGTCCTCAAGCACTTCCCCAGTGTTTTTTTCCTAGTAGTTTCAAAGTTGCAGGTCTTAGATTTAAGTTTTAATCCATTTTGATTTGATTTTTGTATATGGTAAGAGAGAGGAGTCTAGTCTCATTCTTCTGCATATAGTTACCCAGTATTCCCAGCACCATTTATTGAAGATACTCTTCTCAATGCGTGTTCTTGGTACTTTTGTCAAAAGTGAGTTGGTTGTACGTAAATGAATTTATTTCTGGGTTCTCTATTCTGTTCCATTGGTCTATATGTCTGTTTTTATGCCAGTGCCATGCTACTTTGATTATTATGCTTTGTAGTTTATTTTGAAATCAGGTAGTATTGATGCCTCTAGCTTTGTTCTTCTTGCTCAGGATTGCTTTGGCTATTCAGGATCTTTTGTGGTTCCACACAAATTTAGGATTGTTTTTTTTTTTATTTCTGTTAAGAATGTCCCTGGGATTTTGATAGGGATTGCATTGAATCTGCAGATCACTTTGGGTAGTATGGACATCCTACTAAACCATAAACTATAAATTGTCCTTTTCAATTTCTTTCATCTGTGTTTTATAGTTTTCATTGTAGAGATCTTTCACTTCTTTGGTTAAATTTATTCCTAGATATTTTCTATTTTTTGTAGCAATTGTAAATGGGATTGCTGTCTTGTTTTCTCTTTTCAGATTGTTCGCTGTTGGCATATGGAAATGCTAATGATTTTTGTATGTTGGTTTTGTATCCTACTTTACTGAATTTGTTTATCAGTTCTAACCAATTTTTGGTGGAGTCTTAAAGGTATTTCTAAATATAAGATTATGTCACCTGCAAACAAGACTAATTAATTAGACTTCTTCCTTTCCAATTTAGATACCCTTTATCTCTTTCTTCTAATTGCTCTGGCTAGGGCTTCCAGCACTATGTTGAATAAAAGTTATGAAAGTGGGCATCCTTATCTTGTTCCATATCTTAGAGGAAAGACTTTCAATTTTTCCCCATTGAATATGTTAGCTTGGATTTGTCATAGATTGCCTTTATTGTTTTGAGGCATGTTCCTTCTGTATCCAGTTTGTTGAGAGTTTTATGAATGGATGTTGAATTTTATCAAATGCTTTTTTCAGCATCTATTGAAATGATCACATGGTTTGTGTCCTTGATTCTATTAATGTGATATACCATGTTTGTTGATTTGCATATGTTGAAACATTCTTGCAGTCCTGAGGTGAATCCCATTTGATCATGGTGAATGACCTTTTTAATGTATTATTAAATTTGGTTTGCTAGTATTTTATTGAGGACTTTTATATATATGTTCATCAGAGATACTGGCCAGTAGTTTTCTTTTTTGTTGTTGTGTCTTTGGTTTTGGTATGAAGGTAATGCTGGCCTTGTAGAACGAGTGTGAGTATTTCCTCCTCTTCAATTTTTGAAATAGTTTGAAGAGATTTGCTATCAATTTTTTGGAATAGTTTGAATAGACTTGCTATTAGCTTTTCTTTAAACATTTGGTAGAATTCAGCAGTAAAGCCATCAGGTCCTGAGCTTTCCTTTGATGAGAGACTTTATTACTGCTTTGATTTTATTACTCATATTGGTCTGTCATATTTCTGTTTCATGGTTCAATCTTGGTAGGTTTTTTGTTTCTAGGAATTTATCCATTTCTTCTATGTTTTCCAATTTGTTGGCATATATTTGTTCATAATAGTCTCTAATGATCCTTGTAGTTCTGTGATATCAGTTGTAATGGCTCCATTTTTGTCTCTGATCTTATTTGGGTCTTCTCTTTTTTTCTTAGTCTAGCTTAAAGGTTTGTTTATTATTTACATTCAAAAAAACAACTTTTCATTTTTGTATCTTAATTTCATTTATTTCTGTTCAGATCATTATTTCTCCTGCTGATTTGGGTTTTTTTTTTTTTCTTGATTTTTCTAGTTCCTTGAGGTACATCATTAGGTTGTTTATTCAAAGTTTTTCTGGTTTTTTGGTATAAGCATTTATTGTCATAAACTTCCCTCTTAGTACTTTTACTGCGTCCTATACGTTTGGTACATTGTTTCCATTTTCATGTTTCAAGAAATTTTAAAAATTCCTTCTTTGAATTTCATTGACCCCTTGGATGTTCAGGAGAATGTTATTTAATTTCCATGTATTTGTACAGTTTCCAAAGTTGCCCTTGTTATTTACTTCTAGTTTTATTCCATTGTGGTCAGAAAAAATACTTGATATGATTTTGGTTTTGTAAAATTTGTTTAGACTTGTTTTGTGGCCTAACATGTGGTCTATCCTGGAGAATATTCCATGTGCTGATAAGAAGAATGTATATTCTGTAGCAGCTGGATGAAATGTTCTATAAGTGTCAATTAGGTCCATTTTGTCTAGAATATAGTTTAATTCTGATGTTTAGGTGATGTGTGCATTGTTGCAAGTGGGATGTTGAAGGATGTTGAAGTTGTTATTGTATATAATCTATCTCTCCCTTTAGATCTATTAATATTTTCTTGATATATTTAGGTGCATATGTATTTACAATTTATAATTGTTATATCTTCTTTTGGATTGACCTCTTTATCATTATATCTTTGTCTTTTTATAGTTATTTTTTGAGACAGGGTCTCACTGTGTCACCCAGCTTGGAGTGCAGTGGCATGATCATAGCTCACTGCAGCCTTGAACTCAAGTAATCCTCCTGCCTCAGTCTTCCAGACAGCTAGGACTACAGGCACACATCACCATGCCTAAATATTTTTTATTTTCTGTAGAGACAAGGACTTGCTGTGTTGCTCAGGCTGGTCTTGAAATTCTGGCCTCAAGCAATCCTCCCTCCCACCTCAGCCTCCCAAAGTGCTGGGATTACAGGTGTGAGCCACCACACCTGGCCTCTTTTTACAGTTTCTGACTTGAAGTCCATTTTATAGCTACTTTTTTTTTGGGGGGGGGGGTACATTTGCATGGAATGTCCTTTCCATCCCTTCCCATTCAGTCTTGTGTGTCTAATGGCAACATACAGTTGGGTCTTGTTTTTTTGTCTCATTAACCACTGTCTTCTAATTGGAGAATTTAGTCCATTTACATTCAGTGTTGTTATTGACAGGTAAGTACTACTGCCATTTTGTTGCTTGTTCTGTGGTTGTTTTGTAACTTTTCTCTCTCTCTCTTCCTTTCTTACTCTCTTCCTTTATGGCTAAGTGATTTTCTCAGGTAGCATGTTTTAATTCTTTGCTTTTTATTTTTAGTGTATCTATCAGAGGTTTTTGCTTTGTGGTGACCATGAGGCTTACAAAAAACATTTTAGAGTTATAACAAGTTATTTTAAACTGATGACAACTTAACTTTGAAAAGAAAAGAAAGTTAACTCCATCTCCCACACTTAGACATTTTTGTTGTATCAATTTATATCTTTTTATGTTGCCTATCTCTTAAATTGTTGTACTTACTATTTTTGATAGATTTTTCATATTAAAGATATGAGTGGTTTACACACAGCAGTTACAAAATTAGAGCATTCTGAATTTGTGTACTAACTTTTACCAGTGAGTTTTACACTTCAGGTGATTTCTTGTTGCATGTTAGTGTGCTGTTCTTTCATTTCTTATAAGACAGTCTGGTGGTGATGAATTCCCTCAGATTTTGTCTGAGAGTCTTTATTTCTCCTTCATCTTAGAAGGATAGCTTTCCTGGGCATAGTATTCTTGTCTGGAAGTGGTTTTCTTTGAGTATATCATCCCGTTCACTCCTGGCCTGTAAGGTTTCCACTGAGAAGTCTGCTGCCAGATATATTGGAGATCTTTTATATGTTATTTGCTTGTTTCCTTTACTGCTTTTAGTATCCACTCTTTGTCCTTGACCTTTGAGAGTTTGATTATTATACACCTTGGGTCAGTCTTATTTGAGCTGAACTTACTTGGTATTTTCTCACCTTCTTGTACCTAGATATTCATATCCATTTCTAAGTTTGGAAAGTTCTCTGCTATTATTTCTTTGAATAATCTTTCTACTTCTATCTCTTTCACCATTCCCTCTTTAAGGCAAATGACTCTTAGATTTGCCCTTTGGAGGCTATTTTCCAGATGTCATAGTGTTCTTCATTCTTTTTTGTTCTCTTTTAATTGTATTTTCAAACAGCCTGTCTTTGAGCTCACTAATCCTTTTCTCCTCAATCAATTCCACAGTTAAGACACTCGGATGCATTTTTCAATTCATTAATTGTATTTCTCACCCCCAGGATTTGTTTGATTTGTTTTATTATTTCAATCTCTTTGTTAAATTTCTCTGATAAATGTAATAATTGATTCTTTGTGTTTTATTGAAGTTCCTTGAGTTTCCTCGAAACAACTAGTTTTTGAATTCCTTGAAAGGTCACACATCTCTGTCTTTCCAGGGTTGGTCAGTGGTACCTTATTTAGTATGTTTGGTGAGGTCATGTTTCCCTGAATGTTCTTGGTGTTTGTGGAAATTTATTTGGGGATTGAAAAATTATGTATTTATTCCAGTCTTTGCAGTCTGGCCTTGTTTGTATGTGGCCATCTTCAGAGGGCCTTCCATAAATTGAAAGTGGACTGATTGATGAGTTCTCTAAGCATGTGATCACAACAGCCATTGCAGCATGTGAGGGCACCCTAAGCCCAGCCACGCTGAGACTCTCCTGAACACTTCTAGATATCCAGTCCCGATGGAATTGGGGAGGACCAGGGAGAATCCCTTGGGTTCCCAGGCAAAGTCCCTCACTTGCTTCCCTCTCTTTCCACCAAGGGGAAGAAGTCAGTGTGACTGAGTTGCTAGAGTTGGGGGAGGGGTGAGGCAGGTACTCCTGTGGCACCCGCAGCTGGTGTCATGCTAGTTGCACACCAAACCCATAGCTTCCCAGACCAGCAGTACTGGGGCTTGACTGGCAGGCACACCATCACTAAATGTGTTGACATGATCATGGCTTAGGGGAAGAAATTTCATAGCTGAGACTCAAACATGTAAGGTTTCTGACCCCAGGTAGGGACCTTGTGACGTTGATGTGCTCCATTAACCCTCTACCACTATTAATTATGGATTGGCAAGGCTGTGTATGAAGAGGCATGTGCTTGAGGCTAACTGAATCAAGACTGGGTGAAAAAGTAATAGCTTGCAGCTGTACATGTAAAATGTGTGAGCAAACGTTTTTTTCGAACTATATTCAGTATGAGGTGCCTCTTATGGGCCAAGTAGAGCCCCAAACTTGAGCCATGCTTTACTTGCGTTGTCATTCAGCTTCACAAGAGCCCCTAACAGTGGTGATACAACCATTTTGCATATGTTGACACTGAGGCTCATATTGTCTAAGGTCACCCAGCTAAACTGGGCTTAAAAGTGTTTCATTTTTACCAGGCTAGGGAATTCAGAAATCCAAGATAAGAACTCTGCCTTAAAGAGTAAGATTTGGTGGAGGGAATAATTGCTTTAAATTATTAATTCCAACCAAAAGTAACCATGGAAGGAGTTTGTAGGACACATAGTTCTGCTGAAATCTAGAGAGAGTTTTGGCTTAATGGTCAGAGAAAGCCCTGAGATTGGGAAGGACTAGTAAATCTAGAGAGGGAGAAAATGTCTCAGACAGGACACTTCACAGACAAAAAATAAGAGGAGCTAGAGGCCTGGAGACGGGAATCCACAAGGCGGGTTTGGGAGGAAAGTGTCATTGGACTGGACAGGAGGAAAGGTTTGAAACTAAAGTAACTATGAGATAGGAAGAAAACAAGAGTAACTGGCTTTCTTATGGATTGGGTATTCTTAGGGAAATTTATTTCAAAGTAACATCATTTATTGTTGGATTCGGCCACCAATTAAAACTCAGTATTGAATATCTTATTTGTGCAGAGTTTTTTTTTTTTTTTTTTTAAAAACAAGTTTCTTTCTTTCAGAATCACTTTATTATAGGAAGGGAAAAGTGTTTCTCCTCAAACTGAGCTACAGACATTGAAGGTATAGTCTGAAGTGTAGAGTTATGACAATTTCAGAACCCAGGTGTTTTTCTTACAGCCCTAATAATTTAGGAAGGGCTCTTGACAATAACACTAGTATGACTTAAGAATCAAGATTGAAGCAAACTATTAATCTTGTGTGTGTGTTCGTTTCACAGATAATCACTGCCAATCCTTGGAACACAATTGCTCTTCTCTGCGGGGCCTTCTTGGCGTTATTTAAAGCAGCAGAGTTTGCCAAACTGAGTGTGAAATGGATGATCAAAATTAGAAAGAGATACCTTAAAAGAAGAGGTCAGGCAACGAACCACATAAGCTGAAGCCGCCTTGCGTTATTCATGGAACTGCCCACTTGGAAGTTCTTACCACTTCCACTTTGATAAACTGAGCTACCAGCAATCCTGTATTCACTTGAAGAAATGGGGCCTTCCTGGGAGGGACAGCAACTTCTAACCTGGCCCAGAAAGAGGCTGTTTAGAGCCCAACAGAAAAGATCGAATGGGTAACCTAAAAGTTATTTAAGTGTTTAAATTATTAGTAGTCATTTTAAAGAGCTGTCCAATGACTTGTGAGGGTTTGTAGAAGATGCCTTTTTCCCATTTGGTTCATTGTACAGTTAAGCTCTACAGGATAATTAAGGTTGTACGTTTTACCTTAGGTTTTCCCCTGAGGTTTCTGAAATGGACAGAAGAAGAGTGTAATCTTTTTCCAAAACCCCGTAACTATCAAGATATGTGGGTCATACTTTGGAACCTATGCACTGTACACAAAGGTAAAACTCTTATGACTTTGGCATCACTTGCTATTGATGTTACCTAGCCTCTGACAAGCTCTCTCATTTGTTAAATATTACATGAGACTTTAAAAAACTAGTAATTAAATTTCTTATGTCCTGACTAGCCACCTACTTGTCTGGCTAGAATATTTGCTGATACAAGTATGAGTCTAGAGTCATTAGCACTCAAAAGCATTGGGACAGATGTACATAGTAGATGCCCACTCAGTGTATTTTGATGATTTCATTAACAGGGAAATAAAAGTTAGGTTAATAGAAAAGAAATAAGTGTGCCAGGATGAATATCTGCTAAATCAGCAGGCACCAATACGCTTTGATTCTGTGACCTCCAAAAACAAAAGGTAGCGTGAGTCTGGATTCCCAGGATGGATGGATCTGACTCCCAAGGTATGTCCTGACTGCTTCCAGGGAAGGGGTAGGTTGGGCATGGTGATTGACAGTGGGTGACCAGGAACAATAACATTCCGTGCCATGTGCATAAGCTGTGTTAAGTCCTTATCCTTCAAAACCACCTGTCTGAGAAAGGGGCCCTCAGTATGACCCTTAAAGCTTTCAGCCTAGGTTTTGACAAAAGTGAGTACTTCTAAAAAGCCATCTAGCTATTTCTCACATTGACTGAGTTAAGGTTATAAAAATGGTTTCCAGAGTTTTAAATTATTTAATGCCCACTGCATCCACAGAGGACTTGGTAGCATTTCCTAAATTTTATAATCTGGCTTTAGATAATCCAGAGAGAAAAACGCAAATGTATGAGTAGGGCATTTTTATCTCATGTCTGTCTAAGCAAAAACTTTTGTGGTTGAATTATTAAAAGTGAACTTGTGTAAAGACATATTCCCTGCTACTTTCCTGCTTCACAAAAGCATGAGAATTCAAATTTTTGCCTAGGTCTCTTTATAAAATCTTGTAGATAGATGCAAATTTATCTACATTATTTAATATAATGCAAAGAATTGTAATACAATTTATTGTAATGCAAAGCCAGGCATAAAAGCTTACATTAACAGTATTGGAAAATAGGCATTTTTTGTTAGAACATCTATAAAAATGACATATCACTTTAATATTTAAACATCTAATAAAATCTGCTCAATGAACATACAGAAACTATATTTCCTATATTGTGGAAAGTTGAGAGACCTAAAAAATGTACTGTTAGTACAAGTAGATAATTAGGAATTAAGTGAACATTTTTACCTATTCAAAGGAAAAAAAAAAAGCTTTAACTATTAGCTGCAACCCATCAAAGTCCACTCTGGCTACTCTTCAGTAAAAGAAATCTGTGGTTATACTTTCTATAAAGTAGACCTTTAGACCTAACCTTGGCTTTCTAGAAAGGCAGGGGCTTGCCTTTTCAGTCTCTGTTTCGTAGTAGGATCATCCTTTCAATTGGGCTGTCCCCCAGCTCTCAGCAATACCATCATCTGGCCTTGGGTTAGTGTAGAGCAGCGGTCCCCAACTTTTTTAGCACCAGAAGACAGTTTTTCCCTGGGGGAGGGAGGATGGTTTTGGGATTATTCAAGTGTATTACATTTGGTGTGCAGGCAGACACACCTCTCTGCTAATAATAGTCTGTATTTGCAGCTGCTCCCCAGCGCTAGCATCACTGCCTCAGCTCTACCTCAGATCATCAGATTCTTATAAGGAGCACGACCTAGATCCCTCGCATGCATAGTTTACAGTAGGGTTTGAGCTCCTGTGAGAATCTAATGCTGTCACTAATCTCACAGGAGGCGGAGCTCAGGCGGTGATGAGAGAGTGGTAGGGAGGGGCTGTAAATACAGAGGAAGCCTCACTAGCTTGCCGGCCACTCACCACCTGCTGTGCAGCCCAGTCCTAACAGGTCACCGAATGGTACTGGTCTGGGGTGCCCAGGTATAGAGGATCTAGAAGGGAAACCTTGCTCTAGTGGCCACGACACAGCGGCTCTGCAGTATTTGCTATGTGAGAATGCCTTAAAATATGAGGCACGGTACCAGAAGGAAACGTTTCATCCAGGGCCACAGAGTGAAAGGAAGCACTTTCGTGATGGCCTAGAGGTAGTGCACAAAGCTGTGCTAGTGCTTTCCCTTGATGACATTAAAGCACAAATAAGCATCAGTAGTTGAAAACACTTTATAATAAAGTGCAATTATTTAATATGGATTATGAGATGTATCCTTTAGTAAGTTAAAACTATCCTCTGAACACAGGGAGGATAGCCTAGAACAGGGGTCCTCAAGCTTTTTAAACGGGGGGCCCATTCACTATCCCTCAGACCGCTGGAGGGGCTGGAATATAGTTTAAAAAAAACTATGAACAAATTCCTATGCACACTGCACATATCTTATTTTGAAGTAAAAAAACAAATGGGCAAAAACACCCAAATGTGGCCCGCGGGCCGTAGTTTGAGGACGCCTGGCCTAGAACTTAGAATTTTCAGTGTAATTAGAATACATCTCACAATTTGTCTTAAAAATTTCTATAAATATATGTATGTATCTATAAAGGGGGTAAAAGCTGCTCCTGTATGCCTAAGCTTAGAGCTAAAAAAAAAAAAAAGCAAAGATGACATAAGGCAAAATACAAACATAGACTTTATTAAATGCTGCTCAATCCCCCAATGAAGATCTTTCATTACAAAACAGTTTTCCACACAACTGCAAGTTAAGAGATTGGAATGGTACTCTGATAACAAAAGATGTGAGAAATACTTGACCAAGTAAAAACATACAAGACCTCTATATAGTCAACTTTTTCAGAACTCTACAGAGGAAGCCTACTGTATTTCCTTTAAATAAAGCCAGGCAGTGACAACTATCGCTCCGTATCACCACACCGTGGGACTCAAAGCTTCCATCCCTGGGTTAGGAGGGACTGGGGGAAGGGCAGGTTGTGAGACTGGAAAGGCCCTGCCTTCAGCCTTTGAGAGGAGGAATGAATTGAGAGGCAAGCTGAGTATTCACCTGAGCTGCCTCTACTAATCTGTTCATCACTCTGGGGAGTTGCAGATGAAGGGGGCGAGAGGGATATTCACGAGGAACAATCTGTAGCATTTTGGTTTACTTTCCCAGCTTTTATATTTTGTGCTTTAAAAAGCCTGGAAATTTAAGGTTTTGCTCAAATTCCAGAGTACAGTAATATCTTTAATGAGGGAGGGATTGGGGCAGGTAATTCCATCATTTTTTTCTGGGAGACATAAAGGGAAAGATAAGGCTGATACCTTAGTTTTATTTTAGGAAGTATTCTTGTTCCTAGGATGTAACTAAGGTCTGCAGCAATATGAAAAGCACATGATAAAGGAAAAAATATACAGAGCAGACTACCATATCTATGTGCAACACAATCAAGAATTCAAGTCATAATTCTTACCACTCCCATAATTATCTCATTCATATCATAGATAAAATTCATTCATTTCTGTGAAACTTTAGAAGTGACACATCAATGATTAGACAAAGGTTACAATATGCTGTGGCCATGATAGAGCACAGGGCTATGTTGAGTCCATATATTTTTTCATTTACAGTTGCCAGAAAAAAAATTGGCCTTTTAATTATACTGATGAGGTTTGTTTTGTCATTTTTACATATTTCAAAAAAGTATACAAAACTGCCTATCCAGCAGTGGCGGCAGGCTTTTTTTTTATTCGGCACTTGCCGTGTTGAGAATACTGTCCGTGCTGTAAGTACTATTCTGGTTTTCTAGGACTTTCTTTAGTTTTAGCTCCTCTAATTTTTTCCATAATTCTTCACGTTCCAATTCCTTCTTTTTCTCTCTGTAGATAAAATTTTTATAATCAGAAATTATTTCAGAACTTGAAGAGAGGTGCTGTTTGGCAGTTTACTGGAGAACACATTTTCCCCATATTTCACTGAAATCCCTCTACTACAGCACTGGAGTCCAATTACTTGGAGCACCTAATTTCTTCCTGTCACCCCCTACCAAATGTAATCACTAAGTCTGTGCATCTCCTGTACCAGTTGGATGTTACTACTTGCTTTCCTTTTCCCTACTTTTTTATTGCTACTACATTAATGTTCTCACCTACATTTCTTGCAGTAGCTGTAGTAGTCATGATCACTGCTACAGACAGAGCCTGAAGGGGCTGCCCAGTGAGTCAGGCTGACGCCTGCCCTTCACCACACCCACTAACCTGTTTGTATCTTACATGTCAAATGAAAACTTTAAAGTCTGAATAATCTAAAACATAACAAAAATCAAAACATTTCTGAGTAACTTGGACCAGACTATTCTGAAAGACTATATATGGACATGTAAAACACAGGCTTATATTTCTATAGTTATATATGATTGATCCTTTTAAAGGATTTTGCTGATTTTATGCAGATAGTAAGAAATGATGATTCTCAGTCATGTGAGATATATAAGTTCTACATGATGGTAGTCATCTTTTCTTTCTTTCCATTAAACCATGTGCCTGATTTCTATTCCTGCCTGAATACTGCTATTTAAAAGAATGCATTGAATTGAATTGATGGGCCAAGATGGCCTCAATAAAGAGCTATCCATTCTGAACTTGACACAAGAAAACCATGACTACGAACTTGTAGTCAAAATAGATCAGCTTTTCTAAACAGAACCGGTAATATGCTTATTAAAAGTAAATGGTAGTTATTATCCTCGAATGATGGGTGGGCTCAGGTACGATGGTTACTGCCCACTTAAGTTTAAGAAAATCCTTAAGTTTATATGAGAAGGATGTGATTATGAAATTCTCAAAAAGAATCACTAAGCCATGTTCTTAAATGCTGATAGGTGCTACCATTTATTCTATAAGATATTATATTATTGCTAAGCCATAAACAACATTGTGAGTTCCCTTTTCCCAAAGGAGAACTATGTTGGCTTTGAAATACTACCTTCTGATAATCTGCAGCATAAGAACTATGGACTTTTATGCAAATAACAGGTGAAGAGTGGAACCTTGTGGACAAAAACAACTTTCATATATACAAGGATAAGAAATCAAATTTTATAAATTGGTATTTAAAATCCAGCATAAATTATACTTCACAATGTAGATGCTACCAGACTGATAATCTATGGCTCAGAATGAGATAAATTATATATAAAAACCTTAAATAATGTTACTATTTCTGCTTAGCAAATCTATAAAAATATTTGGGCTAATTTACCTGGAAATGACTTAAGCATTAAGAGATGTTCAAATATATAATTTTTAAAAATATAATTTTAGGCCGGGCGCTGTGGCTCACGCCTGTAATCCTAGCTCTTGGGAGGCCGAGGCGGGCGGATTGCTCAAGGTCAGGAGTTCAAAACCAGCCTGAGCAAGAGCGAGACCCCGTCTCTACTATAAAATAGAAATAAATTAATTGGCCAACTGATATATATATAAAAAAATTAGCCGGGCATGGTGGCGCATGCCTGTAGTCCCAGCTACTCGGGAGGCTGAGGCAGAAGGATCACTCGAGCCCAGGAGTTTGAGGTTGCTGTGAGCGAGGCTGACGCCACGGCACTCACTCTAGCCTGGGCAACAAAGCGAGACTCTGTCTCAAAAAAAAAAAAAACAAAAAAAAAAAAAAAAAAAAAAAAAAAAAAAAAAAATATAATTTTAACTTGGATACCTTTCTGAACTGAATCACATTCAAACTAAAATGTCTAGATAAATTTTATAATTCAAAATTCAAATACCTCTGTCTTTCGGCTTTATATGAGCTAGTAAGGTCATCAAAAAGCTTGCCATTCATTTCCATTAGGGTTTTCAGCACATTGTATACCAGTGCTACAATGGTCCTGAAATGAAAATGAGCCAGTCCTGGATTATTGGTGCTGCTAACAGACAGGAAATATAATACTATCATTTCTAAA